TTCAGATGTAGAGTTAAATAATTCATTAGTTGCATATAACACCCAGTGCTCATACATCACATGCCGTCCTTAATGCTTTTTTTTTTTTTTTAACAAATTCTTAAAGGCTCAAGTTTTAAACCTATGTCATCCATGAAGCTTCCCCGGTCTTTTCTAGGAAGTGAATATCAACTGTCACAGGTACATGCTCAGATTTTCGGCACCTTCACAGTCTCTGTGACCTAGGCTGAGTTGCTTGGTATTTCTGTGCCTCAGTTCTATCTTTAAAAAAGGGATGATGGCTATCTGCAAGGAATCAAATATAAAACTGACAGGATTCAGCACAGTATTTGGCATATTCTAGCTAACATTCACTCAGTAACTATTATTAACACCAGTCATACTTAATATCTATCCTGCACAATTAGTACTTTCTTATCTGTTACTCTCGGCTTTGTCTCAGAATTAACTCATGCTCCAATTAGGGGATGTTAAGTTCCCCCAGCCTAGAGTAGAGCATCTGGCAACAATGCTAGTTGCAGGTAATCAAAAAATAACATGTCTGGCTTTCTTCTGAAAAACAACACTCAGATTGAGACCACCACCAATGTCCCAGCTTCACTGAAAACAGAAACTGGTCTTCCTTTCGACAGGCAAGGCAAATTATAGGCAATAATAGGAGGATCAGGCACCATATTCACTCACTTTTAAAAATTAAACTTCTAAAACTGTAAGAAGTGGTTTAAAAGTATTAAATGATGAGTCACAACAACTTAGAAATGGTTTAATGAAAGCTATTGCCCACTTAATGACTATTTTTTTAAAGATTTTATTTATTTATTTGAGAGAGCAAGAATGAGAGAGAGAGCGAGCACATGAGAGGGGGGAGGGTCAGAGGGAGAAGCAGACTCCCTGCTGAGCAGGGAGCCCAATGCAGGACTCGATCCCAGGACTCCAGGATCATGACCTGAGCCGAAGGCAGTCACCCAACCAACTGAGCCACCCAGGCGCCCTCACTTAATGACTTTAAAATGGATTTTGTTCTCACTCATCCTGCATCCATTAGAAAAAAACAATTACAGATTCTGTAGCCTTCATATATGTTGTCTATCCATTTAATAGATGTCTTACCCAGTGGTAATAAGGAAATGACACGATTCACAAAGGCTATAACTGAAATTTCACTTCAGACTAACGGATGCCAAATCTTTAAGCTGAGAAAGAAAACTGCCAACTCCTTGAAACACAGCTAGTTAGCATAAATTCAAGCCCAGCACAGTAGGATTCTGGCATTAGGCCAGTTCCAAACTACCTAAAACCCACAGGCAAGAAGACTGTCTATATAGTACTCATTGGCTCCTAAGAGACACAAATACCCTGGAACTTTAAGGTATGAACTAAAAGTTACATTTTACAAATGCTTCTTTTTTTTTTTTTTAAAGATTTTATTTATTTATTCATGAGAGACAGAGGGAGAGAGAGAGAGAGAAGCAGAGGGAGAAGCAGCCTCCCAAAGAGCAGGGAGCCCGATGCGGGACTCGATCCCAGAGTCCTGGGATCATGACCTGAGCCGAAGGCAGATGCTTAACCATCTGAGCCACCCAGGCACCCACAAATGCTTCTTTTTTTTTAAGATTTCATTTATTTATTTGTCAGAGACAACACAAGCAGAGGTGCGGCAAGCAGAGGGAGAAGCAGACTCTCTGCTGAGCAGGGAGCCCGATGTGGGACTTGACCCCAGGACCCTGGGATCATTGACCTGAGCCAAAGGCAGATGCTTAACCGGCTGAGCCACCCAGGCGTCCCTTACAAACACTTCTTAAACTATGATAGATAAACCCAATGCTGAGGAGAGCCACCAACCCCAAACATACCAACTGTTGCCTCTAAAGGTGAACTGTTACCATAAGTACCACTAAGACGATGTGATTAAATGGTAAGAGTCAACAGTTATGAGACATCCCAATTTCAGGGACATTGACATGGGACAACAAGGTGCATCCTGGAATGGCTGAAACACAGGACCATTGTCCCCCAGTCTTCCAATTTCAGAGAACAGTTTTATGAAAGCTATGTGAATCTGGTTAAAGGGAGCCCCACACCAGAAGTGAAGAGCCCTGGGACCTCACACCAGAGTGGTCATGAAACAGAACATAACCTTTATAAATACTGACTTTCCCCCCTTGAGTGGTAAGACTGTTCGTATGTAAAGACTGAAGACAGAATTTAGAAGGCACTCAGCAGGTATTCCATTTGTTTGCTCTCTTGTCCTTCCTTCACAGAGAAGTAGAATTGCTAGACACTTGCTCTTCCTCCCAAATATCTTCTGAGTGCCCGAAAATGTACACAGAATACACTACCATGTACAGAATATCCAGTATAATGGAAGACAGATCAATGATGGCTCACATTACCAGGAGGATGAGGAACACAGGATGGGTAAACAGTCATACAATCCATACTGCATCTGGGGCACGACCTCATGCTGCATATAGCTGTCACCTGTGGTCTGGCATGGACAAGTCTGATACAATGTCTGGACATCTACACTTTCCTGAGCCTTCTGCATCATTTGCAGGCTTGACAGATATCCTAAATCAGAAAATGACATTTAATCCCTTGACACTGCCCAGGATTAACAGTAAGTTTTGAATGCAAAGTGAAAAAGTAATTCAGACAGAGCTCTTTCAAAGAATATCAGTTCCCTGGCTGTTGGGTGCATACTGAATAACACCAAAGATATGTTTGAATTCTGATACACTAGAAAAAAAATGGGAGTAGAAAAAAGGCTTCAGAAGACAAGATTTCGCCAGTCATCAGCTTTTATATAAGCAGGAAGCATCAACTCATTGCGGTCTTGCAGAGTAGTTGCTAAGAAAGATCAATTTTAAAATATCTAATGGCTATGAATGCTTCTGGTACCAAAACTACAAATGTTGCTATACTCTCTTTGAAAAAAAGCACAAAGTAATATAACCATTATTTTTACAAACTCTTCGGACGAGCATCAATTATACTGTAAGGCTCAGAGAAGACTCGCAGCATTCAAGTCAAGCTTTCCTTTATGAATTATAACCCATTTGTGTTTTCTGGGTTGATTTTCAAGCCTTTGCTTTCATTTGCGTTTATTCCAAACTCCTCCAGACCCTGATACGCTCAGGTATGACGAAAGGAACAAGCCGGAAAAGGGATGAGTGTGCTGCCCAAGGGCAGGGTGATCTGGTGGAGAGGCCATGAGAGGGACAGTGGCCTTCTTCCAGCTAGCACAGTGCCAGCAAAGTCACACTCACTTCTTACAGCAAACACAAGAAAGCACTTAAGGAAGGTGTCTGGGGCTAGGAGCATAGAAAGGTCAATAGTCCAGCAGGAACACTCAAGCTCTGTTTTCCAGATCTTATCATTATCGTGCAATTTTAACTCGAGGGGTTACTCCCTTCTTTGATACTGCTCCAAGAGAGCAGAAAGCGTTCCCTAAATTGCCAGCATTTCAGGGCAGTAGCCCTACATGAACCACAGGCCACATATCAGAAGCAGGTGTTTTAGCCCAGATTTATATGAGAAATCATACCTGAAGGGACAACATATATACATAGAGAGAGGGACAGTATACCAAAAGCAAGTGTTTACCTTCATTTTACAAAATATTGCTGACATCACCAAAGGGCTACACACTCTGGGTTTTTATTTTCTAGTAGTAGTGAGGGATCCACACAGAAACGTCATCTGACTTTTGTCCAGAAACATGCATTTGAAAGACAACACAAATCCACAAAGTCTGTACCTGAAGCTTCCAAGACTGTTTATGAATCACATGTCACTCACCTGTGACTTTGATTTCATTTGTGTGGGAGTCCAAATTGCATGTGACTAGCTACAACCTTGCTAAGAAATGATTAAATGACTCTTGTCTATTAAACCAAAAACAACATTCACTTCAGAGAGGAGGTATTTGTCTATTACTGGGGTTATCGGAGAGAGTTGTTTTGAAAGAGAAGGCTTAAGGAAAGGGGCACCTCTGGATTCAACTGATAATATTCCAAGGAGACTGCTCCAAATAGGGCAACAGTCACTTAAATTTGGAGGTTCTAGAGTGTTCTTCCTAAAGGGAGCTGTGACATGGTCTACTTCCATAAATACATTGTAAGTCATGCAGTCCTTACACACTCATCTGATCACATATGCACCAGGGCTTCTTATGCCATAATGGTGCTAAGAGCACCAGGTAACTTGAAAGTAACTTCAGTAACCAAAATTAGATCTTTTAAAATTAGCCATTTCAACTCCTTTCAAACTCAAAATGTTCCCCTTTAACATTAATGTAAGTTATCTGGACTTAAAATTCCCTTTCTTCAATTTTCATTTCCATGATATTTAGCAAGCAAAGAGGTTACCAACCCAGACAGTGAAGGGAAAGAAAGAGACAACACTCTTAGAAGACCCATCAGTTGGTAAAATCATTCAAGTGGTTATAACTATTTAAAATTATAATGCATATTAGGGGTGCCTGGGTAGCTCAGATGGTTAAGTGTCTGCCTTCAGCTCAGGTCATGATCCCAGGACCCCGGGATCGAGCCCCGCATCAGGCTCCCTGCTCAGTGGGAAGCCTGCTTCTCCCTCTCCCTCTACTGCTCCCCCTGCTTGTGCTCTCTCACTCTCTCTGTCAAATAAATAAATAAAATCTTTAAAAAAATAAAATAAAGTTATAATGCATATTAAACTTAGCAAAAAGATGATCTTAGCCTCAGACTACAATTTTGTGAAGGAAGCAGTACGAAAAAGTTGTCAAATCTTGAATTCTGTATCCTATATAAGTGTGTTTAATACAATTCAGGGAGATATAATAGTTTTAATGTTTATTATAGGCAGATAAAGCTCATAAAAGCATCTTCATTTAATTTAGGTAAACTTTTCTTGGCCTTAAAACATCATCTGTCAATGCATTTGAGGAAGCCTTGGGCACGTCTACAAGATACTTTAAAAACAATACAAAACCAACATCGGGAAATTTTAAAATTAGTTACCTATATTAATTGCAGTTTCTTGTTTATCTCCTGTCAACACCCAGATTTTAATTTCTGCCTTCAATAGAGTTGCTATGGTTTCTGGAACACCTGCCTGAAGGCGATCTTCTATGGCCGTGGCTCCAAGTAACAGTAAATTCTAGATTGAAAAAGAACTTCGATTATAGATTGGTACATACTTAAGAGCAGCATCAATGACAAAACTGACCCCAAAAAGCAGTCAAAATGTTCTGAGAGTTCTCCTATTTCCTTCACATTAAACCTTCATTTGCAGATAATTAATGATACCTTGACGTGGGGCATTTCGAAACTATCTGCAATGTTAGAACCACTTGAAACACATAGGCAACCCAGCATCCATCATTTATTTCTTGGACCATGGGCGTGTTAGAATAGAAATCACCTAGCAGTAAAGCATATGGGCAAGTTATCCTGTAGATATTCACAGGAGGTGAGCCTTCTCTCACTCCTCTGATGAATAACGTACATATTATATTATGGTTAACACAGGAGAAAACCTGATTCTTGACGATGCAAGACTGATGCTAACATTTCAACAGCCAGAGAAGAAAATATCAAAGTATCTTAAGATTAAGGATTATCAAATGTTGCCTCTGTTAAACTTATTCCAGGCCCACAGAGCCCAGTTCACAGTGAGGATGGGTGTGGATGCATGGGGAGATAAAGACCCATCAGCAGCCCGTACCTTGCCTGCTGGCCTGGCAGATTCCAGAGCCCCAGCACACAGCACCTACCTCCCCTGAATCCCTCCATGGTAGGGCACCGTAACTTGATTACCCGACTGTGGGAAAAGAGAACTACCCCTGCTTGGTGCCACATGGGCCCATCACCTATGTAATCATTTTCTGATTCTAAAAGTAATTTTGCTTATTTCCAGTAAAGCAGAGCAAATGAACACTTGAATTCTGTTCTACTCCTACCAAATTCCACTAAAGTGACAAACAAGTAAATATAAAACTCAAACAAAAACGGAGAATTAAAAAAGCCAAGAGTAATTTTAAAAAACACAAAGAATGAGAAAAGCTAAGGACTTCAGAGTTCCAGAAACTGTTAAATGAATGGGCCAATGGATGCTGACATGAAACAGAAAAAAGTGAAATCTAGCTGCCAGATTGAGGGAATCCAATACCTAGAAATCTACCTAATGCTTTTGGATACACTGCAAAGACCAGCATCAACAACAAAAGCCAAAGGAGGCAATATGGAGTAGCAATGGCAAAGGTAGCTATTATTACAATAAGTGTGAAAATGCTTAGAATGAATAATGTCCAACCAGCCCACGTACTCGGAATGCTCCTATAACTCAACAGGGTGAGCAATCTCATTAAGCCTAATCTTAGGTAAACCCCAAGAGTCACTGACACTGTTTTGGACCTGATACTTCTTAAGATACCATTAACGCTTAGCTAAACGTGGTTCAACGTTTCAGGTAGCCCATAAAAACTAAGTGTTTCTTAAAGCAAAGAAAGACCTCGTTAAAAGCTAATGGTTAAGATATGTACAGGAAAAGGGAACATGGCTATATAGTGAAACGATTCCTGTCCGGAGACTTTGTTCAATACTCGGTGGAGCCCCTCAGTGGGCATGCAACAACTGTCTCACGTGTAATCACCTTCTCTATGATCTCATAGCACTCTTCCAACCGTTGAGCTCTGTCTTTCAGTATGGTGCTGGCTTCTTGATAGACTTTCAGCCACTCCTCATACTCATGCTCAGAGAGGTCGGCGTAAGCCACACAGAGAGTCCTCAAGCCTGCAAAACAGCCACAGTGTATCCAGTGATGGGAGCAAGCAGGATACCCTCCCTCCTAGGTGACATCATGGGGCTCCATTTTAAACCAGCATGCTCAAAAAAATTAAAGAAACCATCAGCTTTTTAGGTCACTCTAATTCAACTTTCACACATCTAAAAAGGGAACTGAAGAACAACTCTAGTGCATTTTGCTGTAAGGCACCTCATGTATAAATTTGAGAGTACATGGAAGCTGCAGAGCGAACTCCCCACGGCAGAGAAGTGCAGGAGCTGGGCATGCTCCTTATGCGCATGTGCAGTGGGCAGGCATCAGCAAATGGAGGCGCTGGGTACATTTCAAGACAGCAATAAAAGCCCAACGTGCCATCATGTGGAAGAGCCAGGCTTTCTGGCAGACACACGTGTGCGCGAACACACACATGCACACACACACGTGCGCACGTGGCCGTAGGAATGAACGAAGGTGAAAACGCGGCAGTCAGCACTTCAGCCGGCTCCAGCTTCCATCACATTCCCTTGCTGGAAACCCTGACATCAGTGCTATTTGAAGCCTTTCAGAGAACTCCTTTCCTAGCCTCTATGGGCTCAATGAATTATTGTTTCCTCAAGTGATGGATAAGCCAGTGTCATAAGGATAACAAAAGGAAGACAGGGAAATAACCTCATGAATTTTCTGAGAAGAGCAATAATAACTACAAAATGATTCTACATGTTGTGAACTGGCCTGACTATTCCTTCCCTACTCCTGGTGAAGAGTCAGCAGAGCCCCGGACAGGTAGCTGAGTGTGGACTCTGGCGCACATCTTGTCACTGCCATAGGCACAGAACGCGGAGGGAGGGGGCTGGGGGTGGCACTAGAAAAGTGTATCTTGTGAAGCAAGCCAAGGACCTCACAAAACACACATGTCCATTCAGAACACGATTGCTCCCCCCAAGCATCAGCCACAAACACATGAAAGTACAACTTCGATGGTTAAAAACATTTCCAAATTTCACTTACCTTCTGTGGCAAAATATTCCAGGTGGCACAGTGTTTCCTCCATATATTTTGAATCTTTTGAGAGTCTCTCAAAAATGACATTATCCTATAAAGTAGAGAAACACTGTGACTGGCAATCCCTTCAGTAAACCTTCCAGTCAGCATTCTAAACCTAGCTCTGCTTTAATGCTTATCCAGCGTGCATGAGAATACTTGAGTGGGCAAGAAGAAATACAGTCTTGGCCAGATTCAGTCATGAGCTTTGGAAAACAAATCGGGTATAGATGTGTCCAAACAAACACTTTTTGGGGAGAATGGTAAGTGTCAAGAGAATTATCAGGGACACAATGGTACCGACATTTACCCAAATTTGCAAAATACATGCCCACATTTATAACACCTCTGTGCAGAAGTAGAAAGAGTAACAGGCACATCCTAAATTACTCAAATACCCTCTTCTTTCCTGACCCTGCAGGAGCTCCTAGACAGGGAGTGCACAGCCCACTAGGCACTGAACCCAGTTCCACTAAGAAACACTGAGGAACACAACTCAGAAAAGCTCTCTGTGACGACAAACCAACCGCAACAACTAAGAATAGCTGCTAGCGAACACATACACACACACACACACACACACACAATCTCAGAGTACTTAAAAGATGATCACAAGTCAATATGAATTATTCTATCTTCCCAAAGTCAGAACCCACTGGTGGTGAAATGAGAATCAGAAGTCAAGCTGCAAAGACTTTGCACGACACAGAGAACTGCTGTTTCTGAAACTATTGGCTAAAAGCAAGCTTTTCATGGGCCATTATTGCCACACTGGCCTGAACCACCACTATCTTCAGTGGGCTGTTACTAGCAAGTCAATTTTATGGCCAGTCTGAAAGAGCCCTTCAACCTTGGGCAAACTCAGGGTAGCCACCAAGGGCGCCTTACTATACAAGACACTTCGCCGGTACTTACAGCCCCCTTACAGTAGAGCCGAAGTTGGCCTGAAGGAGTTCGAACAATTACAGACATTCTTTTTCTGTCACTGTAGGGGTAAGGAAGAAAGAAAAAGTCATCATTGGTCTGTATGATAGGACCCATGCCCTATGGTTAAGCACCTAACAAATCAAAAGATGATCTGAGAGCCCTAAAAATGGCAAAGCTCCATTTTCCTTATTTTTTCCTTCAGAGTTGGACTTTAATTGTATATCCACTACTCTTTTTATTTATATATAATGGACATAAATCTATTTTTCCCTGCCATGGAAACTCACTAGTACAACTACAGCAGGAGAACAGAAATGGAAAATTTGACCACCTATTATGCACATTTAATTTACTTCTGAAAATATTCTGTAAAAGTGCTATTTTAAAGCTCAGAATATTAGTCATCTGCCCAGTAAGCAGCAGAGTGGAAGATTCAATATAAATCCAGTTAGTCCAAAAGCCCCTTGTTGTGTCTTCTGTTAACTGAAGTAGAAAAAAAATAGAAATTCATAGAACACTCCTGATTCAGCACTGAGGTGTGCCTTATTACCGCCCTCCCCACTCCAACATGGACACTTCTGCACTCTTCTTTCATCATGACCCACGCTCACTCATGGAGCCTTCAATGGCTCCCCACTATCTACAGATTCCAGTTCTTGCTGACGTCCACTCACCTCCACAGCCCGGCCTCACCCCCCTCATCTCTCTCACCTGCAGGCCTCCCACACACCAGAAGACACACCACGCTGCTTCTCTACACCTTCTGTTCCATGCCTTTTGCAGACATTTCATCCTCCTGAAACACATCCCAATCACAGTGGGTCCCCGACCACCCACCCCTGTAAGTGGATTCCCAATGGACTCTTAGTTCCTAAGACTGAGGGATATTCTGTCTCCAGCTTTGTGTAAATTCCCACATCCTAACCCACAGCACTGGGTCTGACCTGGATTTGAATTCTCTCTCAGCTACCTAGTAGCCAGGGACTCTCAGCAAAGTTGTTTACCCAGCATCTCAGTTTCTAAATGTATAAAGCAGGGCTGCCACCAAGTCCTGCGAAGGAGTGTTGTCAGGATTTATGGCATCTGGAAAAAGAGGAGTCAACTAAAATGAAATAGAACCACAGCTATGGCTACAAACAACCTTTTTACTCGCTCGTATTCTCCCAGAAGTTTTTAATTCATCCTTGGGTCTCTATCCATATTCACCTGTTTCAACCAAATTCCCTTTCCTCCTTCTTGTCCCTGTAATAACTGCTGGTCCCAGTCACCACAGCCACATAACAGCACAGTTTCTAGGACATCCACAAGAGATGGTGCACAAAAGTCCAGAGCAATGTTTAGTGTGTTCCTTATCTCCACACACGGGGACTCTGGCCCCTACTCCCCTATATAAACCACTACTGTTATCAACCATCATTCTTTCCCTCTGAATGCCCATCCCCAAGGGCTCTTGACCCACCAAAGTTCAAGTTTGCAGTCCTAAAACCAAAGACTAGGGCTGGAAAGCATTTTCCACAAGAGGGTTAAAAATTGATCTTTTTCAAATAGCTTATAAAGCAGACAGAGAAAATGTGTGAATCATTTAACAAAGGTTATTTAAAAAAAAACAATTTTACTATGGGAAAACATGCTTTTGAGGTAGCAACAGAACCTTGCTCTAGTATTGACATCAAGTTCAATGTTAAGAAGGAAGGAAACAAAACATTAAGATTTTTTTTAATGACAAGGGAAGCAAATGATCCAACAAATATTCCTGGCTCTTAAATTAAATAAACCAAGCTGGGGAAGAATGAGCTGGAATATATACAGCAGAACTGCCCAACTCAGACAAAGCCTCTGACGGGATGGACTGATCTTGTCGGCCTCTGCTCATCAGTTTCCCAGGCCTGGCAAGAGAGCACTCAGGATGGAGCCTGAGGCTCAACCTCATGGGACGTGGGAAAAACCAACAGAAATAGGGCCCTCATCACATACTCCAAACTATGCAGACATGTCTGCAGCTGCTGATGCCAGAACAGCAGGTCTGGAAATCTAAAGAAAGAGGAGGATATGGGAGCATAAGGTTTCATTCGGAAAAAAAGAAAAATGGCCTACTTCACTTTCTTTAATGAAAGTCACAAATTCCAGAGAGGAGAGGGCTTGTGGAGATATATTTACTAAACTTAATACTTAGGTACTGCATTTAACCATATTATACAATCCTGCAAATACTGGGATGACGTTGTTAAATATATATGGAAGTATTTTATTTCAAGTGCATGAAAGAGAAACATACCTAGAAAATTCCAGGACGTTAAGGATTCCAAATGTCTGTTCCTGTCCCATCTAAAGGAAGAAAAGCAGGCTCTTACATAAGGTGCAAAGTATTAAAATCTCAAAACAGTCTCCCCAAACATAAACCTCTCTGTACACACATCTCCCCATCCCTCCAGCATTTTCTCTCTCTGTATGTAATACACACACACTATGTCCCTCTCTCCCTCTCTCTATAACACATACACATACGTACACCTACATTCCCTCTCCCACTCTTCCTCCTCACCACCTCATTCTTTCTATCACCCTGCAAAGGTCTTTTCAACAGCTACGGGTTTCCCACAAGCCAGTCCTGTGGGGTCATAGCTCCCCCTTCTGGTAGAAGCTTCTCCTTCTTCTCCAGGCTGTCCTAACGGGCTGACAGTCCCTTCCAAGACTGGAGAACACAGGACACAAGCTACACAGGCCCGCCTGAAACCTTGGGGCAGGTCATACTTCAGAATTCAGAATTTTACACATTTTATAAAAATGCACACATACAATTATGTGCCATAATTAGCCCCAGGGGGGTCTGGGGCAACACCCTATAATCCAACTCATCAATTTTCTACAGCAAAATGTAGGACTATTCACACTGAGATTCTTTAAGACCACAAACCACTGCATGTCAGTTCTGGTTACATTTTGCTGCCAAATGCCTAAGTCCCCAAATATTGGGGAAAACTTTTAGAATTCAAAGCTTCTTGAATTTTGGATTTGGGATTTAGAAATAAGGATTATGGATCTGCATAAGATTTTAGGGCAATTAATCAAATGTTATTTTTCTTCAGGTTCTTCAAAGTTGGAACCTCAATATTCTCAATTTTTTCCAGAAGATTCTAGACTATGTGTGTACCATTTTCAAACTCCTTGATCAAACCTGCTATTTCCCCAATACATCACAGTGGAAAGAATGTGGGCTTTGGAGTTCCTTGTGAATTTGAATCCTATGCCTGCCACTAAGTGTGTGGCTTCCTTAGGAATGGTGGTAGCACCTGTCCCCAAGGTTTGAGAGAAGTAATGAATGAAGCAACATGCAAATTACCAAGTGCACAACTGACACAGTGGCGCCAACCCATCATTACTGCCCTGTCCACAAGTCCCCACCCCTTCTCTTCTCATCCTGAAATACAATCAGGGACCTACCTCATCCAGCCTTCACCGACCTTTATTCCCCTCCTTCTGCAACTACCAGCTCCTTCTCCTCAGCTTGTCCCAACTTGGTCAGATGTCCATTCAGAAATGTGCCCACTGGTACCCCACAAATTGGCACGAGCGCTGTGACTGCCAGGAGTCCACCCCTTTGCTATCCCATCAACCGCCGTGCAACCATGTGCAGCCCACAGACTCGGCCGTTAAGATGACCGTAGGGCCACTTCATGTAAATAGCCAGTAACCAACTCGAGAACGTGTGGTTTGAGGATACTCTGGTATTTACGGTTAAATAGGATTTTAAAGTTATTATTATGAAACTTAACTAGTCAGGTAGTCTCATTTACTCTCAAAAGTAGAGAGGTTAATAAAAAGATGAAGAGGTGCCAATCTACAGCATCTACCACCATGATGACAACGCCAGTCGGCTCTCTCTCTAGCTCTCCATATTTGTCCGGTACTGTGAGCAAAGGAGAAGCAGCCCGGCTATCCTCATCTCTCCCACTTGTGTCCCATCAGTCTACACCCGCTCCCAGTCCCCATCACTGCAACGCAGATAAAACAGCAGCACCCATACGACAGAAAACTCCACAGCAAACGTTACAAGTCTCATCAAACTGAAGGGGGTAAAGACTTCATTTATGAGAAGCTTCTATGAAGGAAATTCGATACTCAGTTACTTTGTTCTACTTTAAAGTAAAAAATAATTATGATTTGATCTCTGTACTCCAGAAGACAAGAACCTGAAAGTGCCAAGAAATGAGTGCACTGTAGAAGGTCTGATATTTTCTAGGTTTTGCATATAAGTACAAGAAAAATGGAGTACTGCCAAGTCAGGAATAACAACTTATTAGATAAATTAGAAGTGAATTTCAAATGCACTAACAAGGCCTAGAGATACAAGGATGAATGAAGGCAAAAGCTGTTACAATCCATGAAACCTCCCCAAATTGAGGGGTGGAGGAAGGCAGGGGAGAAAGAAGGCAGTAACTGCTTCCAAGCCCTCGTCAACCCCTCCTGCAGCCCTAGAGGGTCAGCATTAAACACACCAGTGCCTGGCCAGTCCTAACCAACAATTTACCCTGTTGCCCACCTCAAGGGTCCTTATTGGATGTTATTCTTGATTTACATTTTTTCCTATCACCGAATTTCTCTCTCAGGCTTCCTGAGCAGGGTAACTCAAAAATCAATCATAAAATAAATAAACCCCCTTGACCTTAGGGAAAAGAAAAACTCCTACAGATGACAAAGATCTTCGGTGTCAACTCACTTCTCCCCCAGCCGGGGAGACTGAAGCCAGTGCAGCGAGGGGTGCAAATTCTCCAGGTGCCAAGGCTGCAAAGACAGAGCCAAAGATCCTGCCCTCAAGACGAGTGGGCCATGTGGTTATTCCCCTGACTGTTGCAGAACAAAGAGCAGGCTTGCTAGCTGCTGTACTACAAATCGCACTAGTGTATGAAACAATTGTGGAGAAGCATCTCCAAGAGAGAAAAATGCCTGCAACACAAACATGAATAAGCCGAGAGAATCACGTGATACCCGCAGCTTCGCAACGGATCTAGTTTCTCACAGGAAAAAAAAAAAAACAGAAATGTAGCTATCATGTTTCCATCAGACATGCTATTTCAAACATAGAGTCTTCAAAAAAGTAGGTGATGTACAAGGTGAAGAGGTGTCCAGGCTTGTCACTTACTGCTTCTATGATGACCGAGTATGGCGTTCTGGCCGTGAAGACAAAGCCCAGCTTCCTCGCTCCCTTCACCAATGCAGCTTCATCTGTGAATAGAGTTGAGGAGGCACTGACTCATCCCAGCTAATGGTAGAATTCTGTTGAGCATGTGTTATTTTTCAAACTAACCAAGCCCACAGCCATTGGAGAGGACTGGCCTCTGTGCACAGTGGTAAGGACTCGGGGTTTAGGAGGCACTCGCTCACTCCCAGCACCAGGGTCCTGAGGGCAACACTTCTGTTAGGTGGGAAGACAGGAGTGACAGCATGCCTACTATTCTCGGTGGGGATCAAGTGCCTCCTAAGGAACCTAAGTAACATTCCCATGACTTTCTGACTAAACATCTTCTCTGAGGGAGGCAGAGTTTCAGTTCTAGTATGGTGGGATTCAGAGCTCCAGGAAGTGGGTTCAAGAGTTAGTACCCAGCTTAGTTCCATCAGCAGTTGGAAAATCTATGAACAAAGAAGCCAGTCCTCCCTCCCCTGCGAGTTTTGTCTAGTACAGGGTCTTCTGCTAGGAGATGTAAGACGGCCTAGGGTCTCGCCCTGCTGTCACAGTGTTACAGAGTCAGGAGGACTCAGCACCACCTTTCTGCAGCTTTATCACTTGTCACCATAACCTGTAAACCGCATGAGGTCAGAGGCAAAGAGTGGGGTCTTTGTGGGGCACGGCGCCCCACCACACCACCCACAAGTAACTGCAAACACCCGAGTCTCCAGAGAAGGGGACAGCGGGGCACTCCCAGCCCGGAGCCCTCACCTGGGGAAGAGGCCTGGTAGATGATGTTATCTCCATCCTTCTCGGGGACCACGGTGTGGCACACGGCCAGGAGGGTGAGGAACTCCTGTATGCACGGAGCTGTGGGCTACAGACATATGGGCAAGATCATCTGGTAAAACACTGTATGTAGTTAGATTCAGACATCCTCTGCTCAGAACCCTGTACTGGCTTCCCACCCCGTTTAGAATGAAGTCGAGATCCTGCAGGGACTCCGTGTCCCCGGGGATCTGGCAGCTGCTCACCATCCAGTGTCGGCCCTTCCTGCCTCTTCCCTCTTGCATGCTCCACCCACTGCTCCAGTCTGTAGTCCCTCAGACAAGGCTCCACCTGTCCTAAGGCTCATCACCACCCTCCACCCACCTGCAGCCAATTATCACTCATCCTCCAGGATGTAATTAAACAGTTGCTCCACCTGCGAAATCCACTATCACCCAGTCTTGGAACATCATTCTTGACGGGCGAACCCTGAGGTCAGGTGAGAACAAAGAGGCATGCGCCCTTCCCAGGGCTCCCCCAGTGCCTGCCCCCCTTGTTCCAACACTTCAAACACTCCTGCTGTTCACATGCTTCCCCCCATGTCCATGAGATCTAGGAGCGCTAGCAGGTCATCTGCCTTCCTCAACAGTGTAACCCTGGGCCCCACAGATAGAAGGCACTCAAATCTATGTTGGATCCAAACACTGAGAATGGACTCACCAAACAGGTGAGCCTTGTTCTTTCTCTTCCATTGTCCTGGCACTTACTCTACACCATGTCTGTTCTTTAACTTAATAATTGCTTAAAATGGGGGTGCCTGGGTGGCTCAGTCAGTTGGGTGTCTGCCTTCGGCTCAAGTCATGGTCCCGGGATCCTGGGATCAAGCCCCATGTTGGGCTCCCTGCTTAGTGGGGAGTCTACTTCTCCCTCTTTCTCTGTCCCTCCCCCCTCCCCCGCTCATGCTCTCTCTCACTCTCTCTCTCTCAAATAAATAAAATATTTCAAAAAATAATAATTGCTTAAAACCTGTAAGGCAGTGCATCCCATGCCTATTACTTAAAAACAAAAAAAAGAACAATCCTGGATATCTATTTAATATATTTCTCCCATCCTACACACACACTCCTTATAGTTTTCATTGGGATTAGACTAGGACATCTTAATACTGTTTACCCATCTAAGAATACAGAATGCCTTCCTATTTATTAAAGGCTTTTAAAACTTCTAAATATATGTCCTGGCATATTTTCTTCTTAACTAATTTTTTATTCATTCAAAAAATATCTACATGTCTACCATATGTGAGGCACTGCACTGGGCATTTTATCTACTGCTTTCTATATCATGAATAGAATCTTATTTCTATTATATTTCACAAGTGTCCATTCAGATGTAAGTAAAAACACTGAATTTGATCAATGAATTTCATGTCCAATTGTAATTAACCTCTTGCTGGCTCCTCAAGTTTCAGTGGACTCTCCTGGGTTTTAAGGCAGCCAATTATTGTATCATCCACAGATGATGACGTTTTCCTTTTCTTTTCTAACATATACACTTGAGTTCTTACTTGCCCACTTGGGCTAGCGCTTTCAGGAGGATGTTCAAAGCCAGGGGTGACACCAGGCCTCCTTGTCCTTGGGTTATTTTAGTGCCAAGGTCTTTAATTTTTCACTGTTTGATAGGCAGCTGGCTATGCATTCAAGAGAGATTTGTATTTGCACATTCAGGAAACAACTCTGTGTTTTCTAATTTTTGCAGAGTTTTTGTCTTGGCTTTTTAGTCACAAATGGACAGTGACTGATATTTTAAAACATTCATAGTTTCTCCTCCTACCTGTTAATGTGACTTAAGAGCAGATGTATGGAAGAAAATAACTGTTCACATGGCTACTTCTTATCAGTCTTCAGGAAAAGGACATGCACAATTATAGTTCAGTGAAATCAAATAAGTTAGGGGATTTACCGGTTCCCCAAGGTCTATACTACAAAAATGTTAAGAAATTTTACCCAAAAGCACTGTGATGATTGGGCTTTGATTCCAGATTGCCTTCCCCACCTGCAAACCTCTCCTCATATATCACTGGCCAAAACTGTGTCAGGCTCCACACCCCTGACCTAAGCACTGTTACTGGAACCAAGTCCCCAAACCACCTAACCGCATCTCATCCAACAGGGTGCTGGAAATCAACCACGGTGACATCAGGTAATGGAATCTTTTGCTGAAGTGAAAAATAACCATCTCTAGGAATATTAGTTATTAGCGTTTAGGGGATATACTTACAACATGTTAATTTCTTGAGAAGGCAGGATAAAAAAAATTATATACAGTATAATCTCATTATCTGCAGTGTGTTTTTATGTGAGTGTTCCCATGTATGGAAAGGAATAAATTGAAATGTTAACAGTAATTTGCAGCAAAGGACAAAAAGGAATTTAGGGGATTAAAAAAATATTTCTCTTTATATTAGAGTTTTCTGCAGTGAAAATAAATTGCTTTTTATGGAGAGGCCACCACTCCTTCCAAGTTTCTGAGAGTCATCACAGCAGCTTAAGAGAACTGGCCCTCCAAGAGAGGCATTCTGTTGACTGCCAACAACAGAAGAGTCCTGTGTTCCAACACACTCTCCCTTGTGCTGCTTTCTGTCACGCCTCGCTCTCAGGCACGCTCTCCCAGTCCTTGCTGGTGCGGATTACCAGGCCCTGCCATCCCTTCAGTGAATAATCCCTCTTCCAAACTGGCAGGGCCATCTTTGGCCCTGTCTGCCATGCTGAAATTGGTCCCCAGTCTTGATCTAGGGGCTAAGGTGGGAGGTGGGGACAGACCTTGAGGAAGATACGCAGTCTCTGGCAAGACATCTGCTTTAGCTGAGACCTGGTCATGGGATCACGGGGAAGCTACCATCTTCTATGAAGGGCCTTAGACCACTTCTGCAGGCCCACATGTTCCAGAAGAATCTGGGGGTCTCAGGTTCTCAGGTGCATCTACCCAGGAGACCCCAACCCTAGTCCCAGGGTCTCCTTCCTACTGGACTTCGGTGCAGATGATTTTGTGAAGCTGCCAATTCTGCCCTTCTAAGAAGTTCTGCCAATTTTACAATTAGGTCTTGGGCCTGCTCTTTGGCAGTATTGGCCTCAGCGTCAGGGGTTGAAGGAAATATTGAAAGACTGCCAAGGACGAGTCTGACTTCCGTTCAGGGCCTTACATTGGTAATTCATTGACCTGGGATTATTGTTCTCTCTCTCTGATGTAAATGGTGCTCAGCAACAACCAGTTCCACAGGCAATTCAATGAGATAGAAACACATATTTAAAAATGTCGTATGTGGAAAGAAAAAAAAAGATTGCTTTCTCCTGCATCTGTGAACTATGAAGTCCAGCACATCACCTCATCCCATAGTGAAACATGAAAGAGGATCTTTGATTTCATAGCAAATAGTAAAATATTTCTGAGAGCTATAAAAAGGAGTTGCACACACTCTCTAATTAAGTTTCCACTTGGAGTGGTAGGCCAGACACCATTCCTAAAGATAAAAAGAAAATCCCTAAGACAAAGCCATTCTAACATTGGTTCTCTAGTTCACCTGACATTCTACAATAAATTAGAGAAAGGAGACAAACTCCATTTGCAGCCTATGGATGTCTATAATCTATTTTAAACAAGTGCTCCGTGTTGGAAAATAATTTTTTTTCTGTAACTTCTGAGAAAAGCCTTTATATTTATAACTTCAAAGAACTGATTGTTGAAGACTGTATACATGTATGTACGCATATATATGTATATATACATATCTTTTTAGAAGGTAAAGCTTTTATGTGTTGAAAAATATACATACACTCATTTTAACCATCTGTAAGTGCATGATTCAGGGGCATTAAAAACATTCACATTGCTGTGTAGCCACCAATATATCTATACCCAAAACTTCCATCTTCCCAATAAACTCTGTACCCATCAAAGAGTAACTCCCTGTTCTCACTGTCCCCTAGCCTCTAATAACCTCTATTCTGCTCTTTCTCTATGAATTTGCCTATTTTAGGTACCTCATAATCATAAAATATTTGTCTTCCATTTAACAGATTTTAATCTGCACAAAATGCTTTATATATCTAGAAATGAGTATTTTTTATTTGATAAATATAAAAATAGAAAACTAGGAATGTACAAAATTGGCACACCAAATCACAGCTATAAAGTATTTCAATGTACATATACAAACAATTTCTTCTTGAAGACTCAACTCAAAAGTTCCAGGCATAAGGATTCAAAAAAAAAAAAAAAGTTGTATGATCTCTCTTGGTAAATCTTTGGGAAGTTATCCCACAAATAGGAAGTCATGGGTTAGCAATGTAATCAAAGGACCACATGAACCATTCCTTGAAATTTTCCATAGGTTGATTCTTTAATAGGCAAACTCCATCTTGGCTATCAGCCCACACAAAGCTTAAAACACAGTCCTAAAGGACCCAGAAAATCAAAAATGATGACCCAGGAAAAACAAAAATTCTGTAGCAGATGGAAGTACTCTCTTGGGAGGAAAGTAAAGGTTTTCTTGGTCCAAATGCTTTAATTTTAGTCAATGGTCCCAAGACAATTAAGAATGTGGGATATCCATAGGCTAAAATCCTGAAATGTTTCTTCCCTTTCCTCAGCCATATTTTGGCAAAATAACCAAGTGATCTAACAAGCTCTGTATTTAAAAATGTTTTAAAAATCCATTAGGTACACTTAATCCAATCTCACATTTTCTGAAAGAAAAATATTAGAGCCTACGGTCTTCATTACTTATAGTTGAGCTAGATGTTAAATGTCAATGGGATAATTCACACAGTAGCCAAGATGAAGAACACTTCAGAAGGCTTCAAATGAACATAGCTTTAAAAAACGTTGAACTTAGGCAAGTAGGCTTTTCCTAAAAAATTAGAAAATAAATTCTCCAATCCATGGCCACATTATGCACTTAATGAACTGTGAGTGTCCAGATGATTAAAATAGCCTTTAAAGTCTTCATGTTTTCATTGATGCTTATGATAACCTAAGTCAGGGCTTCCTTTTCATAAGGGCTGCATCTGCCCCTACTCTCAATGGCCTTCCCACTGGAATAAAAGGAAATTTGGCTCAGGAGAGTAGAAGGTGAGGAGGAAAAGAAAGAAAAAAGGAGCTCACTAACTTCTCTAAGAGTGGGGTTCCTTCCAAAAACACCTGCCATTGTCCATGGGACAGGAAATGCCCATTAGAGGATCCTGATCCAAGCTCAGATGTCTACTCAAAGGTCAAGAGAGGACAGGCTAGAGAAGAGCATGTGATCAGCGGTCAAAAACCCAGCACACACACATGGGTTCAGCTTTGAAGAGAACATCTTGTATGTGTATATAAATTAACTGAGCTCAGTATTTCAAGATTCCAAAAATGGGGATCTCAGCAGCAAATAGAGTGTGTCTCCCAGTGATCTCTTCTCCAAATGAGATTTGTCCCCTGTCCACTGGTTTTCTATACCAGCCCACATGTTAGGTCAGTGCAAATACCATCCAGTGTGGGTGCCCACAATGCCCACATTGCAACAATTATGTTAGCCCTAAAACCCACCAAAGAGATAAGACTCCTTTATCTACACAAAACAAAATCACTTTCTCAGGGAGTGGTACCATACCTATTCCTATGATGCAAAGGTATACAATGGCGCCTAGTGATTTTTCATGTTTCCCCGATTAGCAGAAATCCCTTGAGTGTTTTTTATTCATCTCTTTCCCTAGTTCCTACAAAGGTGACTGATATAAACTACCAAAATGAATGAACAGACAAGTGAGTCTCTTATTTAAACAGGGATCCACTCATGTCCTGCTGTTCCTGAGCCCACACTGGGATCCCAAGGTATTCCATGCACTAGGCTCACCTTACTTCCTCTGCTGCTTTCTCACCTACTGATCTGGGCCAGGAAAACAAACTTCCTGAAAGAAGACTGACAGCAGTTTCTTAAGCCTCTAGGACACCCTTCCACCTTCTTACCCATTTACTACCCCAACCCGAACAGACACATTTAGGCAACCTAAACACTCTCTGAGTACTATTTGAGAATACCCGAGCCCTCTTTTCTGAAAGCAAGTCCTCACAGGGCCGATGTGTCATCTGACATCCTTGATTAAAGCTACCCTCCTCCACAGAAGTTTCTTCTGAGATGCCACTCTTCTGCTTAGAGAACCTCTACCCTAGTAGTTGGACCCACCTCTAACATCGAAATTCAAAAAAAAAGACCACATCCATGCCTGTGAGTATGACACAGAGCATGGACTTCAGCAGCACCCACTGTGTGGTCTGGGACCACTACAGCAGCATCACAGGGAGCTGAAGCAGAATGTCTGCATCCCAGCCTGTGGACGTGGGTACCTTACACACTCACATTTGAGAACCATGACTGGGAAGGTTCTAGCATCAACAAATGGGCAAGTGCAGGGGAGAAGAGGAAATTTCCTCACTGTGAATTCAGAGAAAGTCTTAAAAATATTTGTACCTTAACAAAACTTTGGAATGATAAAGTTTTAATTTTATTCATGTGTACCTAACTTTAAATTTTTTTCAGAAAAAAATATCATATCTAATCTAACTGGTTACAAAATGCTTCGATCATTAAATACTTTTCTAAGTCAGTATTTTTCAAAGTAGCTTTTAAAACGAATTTAGGCTATCCTATAGTTAATCCTGGTTTGTTGGAATAGTTGAGATAATGTGATGTCACAGTTAAGAATCCAACAGACTAAGGTTCTGAGTCTCATTTCTAGATTTGTTTGCTGGTAATTCTTGGCCAACTCAGTATTTTCACACAGCTTCCTATCACCTCTCTGGGGTGACTCAAGTGTTAAAGGAAATACACATCAAATATTTGGCACACAGTAGGATGCTATAAGTGCTACATGTTGTTCTGCCTTACTTTCCTTCCCTAAATTATCCTGGTCCAAGCATACTGAGATTGTTTTCCAAAATGCATGACCTCTTAGATTCACAACTGTGAAGAAATAGTACTACAGAAATCTTAAAAATCAAAAGAAATCCACAATGTTAGAGAATTCCATGGTAAGACTCATCTCAATCTTGATGTGCAACTTTCTATCTTCACCACATATTTAATTCAGCTTTTCATTAACTTATCCAGAGTGTTAACCACATACCATTTATTTAAGATCACTTCCCTGAATACTAACACCAGAAAAGTAAAACCACATCTCTTCCCCAACGTCTAAAATTGCAAATTTCAAGACACTACACATACACATAAATAGAAGTGAACCATAAGCTATGTAATGTCCTAGAAGCAAAATGGTGGCCTTACATGATGATCTTCGATGTTCTTCAAGAGCCTGGGGTCATCAAAGTCACATGAGTCACTAGGGGGAGGAGGCATCCGGCTGTGAGAGAGACAAGAAAATATTTATTCAGTTCAGAAGTTCCTTTAAAATTAGCCCAAACCTAGTAAGAATCTGTCTTCAAGAAGAACTACATCTAAAAAGCCTACAGATTTATATTAAACTTTTAAAGATTTGGAATACTGTATATTATTTCAAAACTTGAGACAGAAAAATTTAGCCCTCCTATAAGCAAAATATTGTATACGTTGTTATAAACAATGACATAGTTACAAGGAGAAGAAACAGGCAGGGATCAACACTTTGTCACTTTGGTTGGTCTGCTTAACTCTGACCACGGAAAACTTCAGAGTATCTGCTAAAAGTAGGTATAATAAGAGGAATGATTGCATTGCATCTGTGCAGTCATTTATGGCCACAGCTCATATGTAGGAAAGAGAAGGAGGCAAATAATTGTGAGGGAGGAAGCTTGAAATGATGGCTTTGTGCTATCACACTGAAGAAATTATGAATGGCTAAGTATATTCCTGTATCCCCACTTCCTCCCGAATCTCCTTCTTCAGGACAAAGACAATGGAAGAAGTGGCCACAGTCAAGGTGATGTCAGTCTGAACTCTGGTTGTCAGAGTTTTAGTACAGCAGAAACCAGCAGCTTACAAGGGGAAGCGCCTAGAATGCAAGCTGATGCCCCCAGCGGAACCTTGGGAACGCTGAGGAAATGGCAGCCAGAGGTCCCTGTCTGATAAGGGGAACATGGGAAGCAGGAGGGGTTCCAAGTCCATCTGAGGAAGAGTCAGCCTGCAGGAACCCTCCCTCATCCCCTGCAGCCAGGTAACTAAACCTTTTGCACCCAGCAAGCCATGGAAGCTTTATCATTTAGAGTAAACAGTCAGTCGTGGCTGATCATCCCATAGGGAAACCAGTCAGACATCAACTACACTGTCTCCCCTACACACACAGCCCTGCCAATCAGCTTTGTTAGTATATAAATCTTAAAATATGAGCATACATCATCACTAATCCTAAGAGAAATGCAAATCAAAACCAAAATGAGATGCCACTTTACACCCACTGGGATGGCTACTGTGATATAGTAAAGAAACAGAAATTAACAAGTGTCATGAGGATTTGGGAAAACTCTGTGTTACCGACAGGAATGTAAATGGTGCAACTGCTGTGGAAAACAGTTTGGCAGTTCCTCAAAAAGTTAAAAATTACCACACAACCTACCAATCCCACTTCTAGGTATATAACCATAAGAACTGAAAGCAGAGATTCAGATACTTCTATACCAAAGTTCGTAACAGCATTATTCATACTAGAAAAGGTAGAAAAAGTCCAAATTCCCATCACCAGATGAATAGATACACAAAATGTGGTAAACACACACAATGAAATATTATTCAGCCTTTAATGAGAATAAAATTCTGGTCTATGCTACAATATGTATGTTACAACTTTGAAGACATTATGCTAAGAAGTGGGGAGTGAGCTGGAAGTACTAAACGAAGGACTTGCTATTTTTTGTTAAATCCCTGTAGTTCCACTACACTTTTAACACCATATTCATGTTTAAAATTTTAATTTGGTTCTCTCTTGGAATAACAAATATGAAAATTTTGTTTACAAAATATTCAGATAAAAATGTAATACAGAATTAACTGTTCCTTCTCACTAAAGCATCAAGAAGTGCTAGAATCTACTTACCAAAAATCATCTGATGATGGTTCTCTTGTCAATTCTGGAAAATGACTACCAGAAAGAGGGAAATAGAGTGGTCACAAAACTGTAATCAAAAGAGGTACTCACACAAAAACATTCTCCAGGATAGATCATAGATAGGCCATGAAATAGTCTTCATAAATTTAAGAAAACTGAAGTCCTATCAAGCATAATTTCCAACTATAATGGTATGACTAGAAAACAATTACCAGAATGAAACTGAAAATTCACAAATATGTGGGGACTAAACAATATGCTTCTGAACAACCAATGGGTCAAAGAAGAAATCAAAAGAGAAATCAGAAAATATATTGAGACAAAAGAAAAATGGAAATACAACATAGTAAAATATACGTAGCAAAATCAGTTCTAAGAAGAAAGTTCATAGTGACAAATGCCTACATCAAAAGTCAAGAAAAATCTCAACCTAATTTTACACCTCAAAAAATTAGAAAAGAAGAACAAATGAAGCCCAAAGTTAGTATAAGGAAGAAAGTAATAAAGATTAGAGCAGAAATAAATGAAATAGAGGGGGGAAAGACAATAGAAAAGATCAATGAAACTAAGAGCTTGTACTTGGAAAAGATATACAAAATTGACAAATCTTTAGCTAGATTCACCAAGAAAAAAAGAGGACTCAAAATCAGAAATAAAGGAAGAGAAATTACAACTGATAACACAGAAATACAATGGATCATAAGACACTACTATGAACAATTTATACCAACAAATTGGACAACCTATAAGAAATGGATAAATTCCTAGAAACATACAACAGACGAAGACTGAATCATGATGAAACAGAAAATCTTAGATTGATTACTGGTAAGGAGATTAAGGCAGTAATCAATAACCTCCCAACAATCAAAAGTCAGGTTCAGACAGCTTCATTGGTGATTTCTCCCAAACATTCAAAGAAGAATACCAATCCTTATCAAACTCTTACCAACAATAGGAGAGAAACCCAAACTCATTTTACAAGGTCAGCATTACCCTGATACCAAAATCAGACAAGGGCACCACAAGAAAAGAAAATTAGAGGCCAATACACCTGATGAACACAGATGCAAAAATCCTCAGCAAAGTAATAGCAAACTGAATTCAACAATACATTTTTAAAAAATCATACACCATGATCCACTGAGATTTATTCCAGGGATACAGCAATGGTTCAACATCTGCACTCAATCAATATGACACACCACATTAACACAATGAAGGATAAAAATCATATGATCATTACACTAGCTCCAGAAAAAGCATTAGACAAAATTCAACATCCATTTATGATAAAAACTCTCAACAAGTTGGGTATAGAGGGAACATACATCAACATAATAAAGGCCATATATGACAAGCCCACAGCTAACATCATACTCATTAGTGAAAAGCTAAAAGCTTTTCCTCAAAGATCAGGAACAAAAAGATGCCCACTCTTGCCACTTTTATTCAACACAGCACTGGATGTCTTAGCCACAGCAATTAGGAAAGAAAAATGAAATGCTCCCAAACCAGACACAAGTAAAATTGTCACTATTTAGAGATAACATGATACTATATATATAGAAAACCCTAAAGAATACACCAAATAACTGTTAGAATAAATGAATTTAGTACAGCTGCCGGATACAAAATCAATGCAGAAAGGTCTGTTGTATTTCTATACATTAATAATGAACTATTGGAAATTTTAAAAATCCCATTTACAATTGCATCAAAAAAAATGCCTAGGAATAAATTCAACCAAGGAGGTGAAAAACCTGTATACTGCAAACTGTAAGACATGAAAGAAATTGAAGATAAAATAAATGGATAAAGGGCTAGTATCCAAAATCTATAAAGAACTTATTAAACTCAACACCCAAAGAACAAATGATCCAATCAAGAAATGGGCAGAAGACATGAACAGACATTTTTCCAAAGAAGACATCCAAATGGCCAACAGACACATGAAAAAGTGCTCAACATCGCTCAGCATCAGGGAAATCCAAATCAAAACCTCAATGAGATACCACCTCATACCAGTCAGAATGGCTAAAATTAACAAGTCAGGAAACGACAGATGTTGGCGGGGATATGGAGAAAGGGGAACCCTCCTACACTGTTGGTGGGAAGGTGAGCTGGTGCAACCACTCTGGAAAACAGTATGGAGGTTCCTCAAACAGTTGAAAATAGAGCTACCATACGATCCAGCAATTGCACTACTGGGTATTTACCCCAAAGATACAAATGTAGGGATCCGAAGGGCTATGTGCACCCCGATGTTTATAGCAGCAATGTCCACAATAGCCAAACTACGGAAAGAGCCAAGATGTCCCTCGACAGTTGAATGGATAAAGAAGATGTGGTATGTATATATACAATGGAATATTATGCAGCCATCAAAAGGAATGAAATCTTGCCATTTGCAACAACGTGGATGGAACTGGAGGGTATTATGCTGAGCAAAATAAGTCAATCAGAGAAAGACATGCATCATATGACCTCACTGAGATGAGGAATTCTTAATCTCAGGAAACAAACTGAGGGTTGCTGGAGTGGTGGGGGGTGGGAGGGATGGGGTGGCTGGGTGATAGACACTGGGAAGGGTATGTGCTATGGTGAGTGCTGTGAATTGTGTAAAACTGTTGAATCACAGACCTATACCTCTGAAACAAATAATACATTATATGTAAAAAGATAGCAGGAAGGGAAGAATGAAGGGGGGAAATTGGAGGGGGAGATGAACCATGAGAGACTACGGACTCTGAGAAACAAACTGAGGGTTCTAGAGGGGCGGGGGATGGGGGGATGGGTTAGCCTGGTGATGGGTATTAAAGAGGGCACATACTGCATGGAGCACTGGGTGTTATATGCAAACAATGAATCATGAAACACTACATAAAAAACTAATGATGTAATGTATGGTGATTAATGTAACATAATTTAAATAAATAAATAAATAAATAAATAAATAAATAAATAAATGGAAAGATACTCATGCTTGTAGACTAGAAGAATTTATATTGTTAAAATGTCCATACCACCCAAAGCAATCTACAGTCAATCCAATCCCTATCAAAATTCCAACAGCATTTTTCACAGAAATAGAACAAACAGTTCTAATTCATATGGAACAACAAAGACCCAAATTGCCAAAGGATTCTTGAGAAACAAAAACAAATCTAGGGGCATCACACACTCTGATTTCAGACTATATTACAAAGCTATACTAATCAAAATGGTACAGTATTGGCATAAAAACAGACTCCTATAGATCAATGGAACAGAAAACAGAGCCCGAAATTAAATCCACACATTTAGGGTCAGTTAATTTCTGACAAAAGTGCCAAGAATATTTAATGGGAAAGAAACAATCTCTTCGATAAATGAGAAAACTGGCCAGCTACATGCAAAATAATCAAACTGGACCACTCTTATACCATATACAAAAATTAACTCAAGATGGACTAAAGACTTGAATGTTAGACCTGAAAGCATAAGAATCCTAGAAGAAAATGTAGGCAGTAAGCTCCTTAAAACTGGTCTTGGTAATGATTTTTTTGATCTGACATCAAAAGCAAGGCAGCAAAAGTAAAAATACATAAGTGTGGGACCACATCAAACTAAAATGCTTCTGCACAGCAAAGGAAATCATCAACAAAATGAAAATGCAACCTACCTATGGGAGAAAATACTTGTAGATCCTATACCTGGGAAGGGGTTAATATCATATATATATATATATATATGTTATGTATAATATATATGTATCTATGTATCTCCCCATACTACTCAATAGCAAAAAAAAAAAAATCTGATTAAAAATGGGCAGATCTGAGTAAACATTTTTCCAAAGAAGACATACAGATGACCAAGAGATACATGTAGATGTGTTCAACATCACTAATCATCAGGGAAATGAAAATCAAAACCATAATGAAAGATCACCTACTACCTGTTAAAATGGTTAGAAGAAATAACAAGTGTTTCCAAAGATGTGGAACTCTTGTATGCTACTGGTGGGAATGTAAATTGGTACAGCTACTATGAAAAACCGTATGGAGGTTCCTCAAAAAATTAAAAATAGAGCTACCATATAACCCAGCAATTCCAATTTGGGGTATTTATCCAAAGAAAATGAAAATATTAACTCAAGGATATATGCACCCCATGTTCACTGCAACATTATTTATAATAGTCAAGCTATAGAAACAACCTCAGTCTATCAATGGATGAATGGATAAAGAAAATATGGCAGATATACACAATGGAATATGATTCAGCCATAAAAAGGAAATCTTGCCATTTGGGACAACATGGATGGACCTTGAGGCTATTATGCTAAGTGAAATAAGTCAGACAGAGAAAGACAAATACCACATAATCTTACTTATACGTGCACTCAAAAAAAAAAAAAAAAAGCAGCAGCAGCTCATAGATACAGAGCACAGGTTAGTGGTTGCCAGAGGCAGGAGGTAGGGAGTGGTCAAAATGGGTGAAAGGGGCAAAAGGTACAAACTTCCCTTTATAAAATAAATGTCATGGGAATTTAACATACAACATTAAGATTGTAGTTAATAATAAATACTATATTGCATATTTGAAAGTTGTTAAAAGAATAGACCTTAAATGCTGCATCACAAGAAAAAATAAATTTTACTAGATTTATTGTGGTGAACATTTTGCAGTATATACCAACACTGAATCATTATGTTGTACATCTGAAACTAATAACGTTACATATCAATTAAACACCAATAAAAAAAGACAGGTATTCAGATCAAAATATGAGTAAGACATTTATAATTATTAGGTTATAAATATAAATTTATAGAATTTAAATTTACAGAATAAAGTTTTAAAATTAAATTTATAGCATTAAGTCCAGGGATTTCTCACTAGGTAAATATTTGCAGAATAAACTGGTTAACTGTTCAAAGTTGGGACCCATTAAATATTAAATACGTTCAGTAGTAATTACATATCTAAATCCCTTATAAATATCCTTTGAAAATATCAAGAAGGCATTTGGTTAAGCAGCTAAAAATAAACTTATTTGTTGGAAGAATACAAATCAAATTTTTAGTAAGTGATAAACATACTTACCCATAGGTTACTCCAGCAATGCTACACTTCTTGAAGTTCATGATATTGCATGTAAGAGTTCCAGTTTTATCAGAAAATAGGTATTTCACCTAAATCAAAGAATAGAGGAAACATACATCAACAATGTAGCTAAGATGCAGAGACCAATAGATCATGCCTCCCCTTCTATATTTTTCAAAATCTCTATTAATTTTATTTTTATTTTATTTTATTATGTTATGTTAGTCACCATACATCATTAGTTTTTGATGTAGTGATCCACAATTCATTGTTTTCGTATAACACCCAGAGCTCCGTGCAGAGCGTGCCCTCTTTAATACCCATTACCAGGATAACCCATCCCCCCACCCCTCCCCTCTAGAACCCTCAGTTTGTGACTAGAGGAGATTATGCTAAGTGAAATAAGTCAAGCAGAGAAAGTCAAAAATCTCTATTAATTGTAAACGGTAAATATCCTTACAGTAAAATATATTTTATAATTATATACAATTATATATTATTATAAAATTAATATATTTTCATGCTTAGACCACTTAAAAACCTTTTCCACTAACCAAGCCTAGAATTGAATTCTGCGGAAATGTGCAAAGGAGGCTTCAGTAACAGCCTGGAGCCCTGTCGATCTATAAGCCTAAGCACTAAGTTCTACCATTAGGCATCTCAAAGACACAGATCACTCTCCAACCTATTCCCACAATCTCATACAGCACTCCAGTCTAGTGTTCAATATATCAAGACAACAAGCTCAAACTTTGGCAACCCTCAAATATTTTTTAGTCACTCCACTCCTAGTTGAATTAGGAAGGCATACCCTGAAACAACACAGAACAAACAAATCTTCCTCCATCACAGTAACAATTAAGATTACATGAAGGCAGCATAGGACTGCTATAGATTATATATAACTTTCTGAGATACAAAATTTTACAGACTTAATACACGAAGCTCTCAATATACAAAGGTGAAAAGATAAAATTTCTGGAGGTCAATTTTGACATAATTAACTGGATGCAAAAGAGATGAACTCCACATGCACAGGTGCTGTGTTCCTCCACACTGCTCTTCCCTCCAGTGGATCACGTGATGGGCAAGAAGGAAAAGAGTTCAAGATCAAAGGAGGATAGTAGCCCAGTTCAAGCTCTGGATACTAACTAGTCATGTGGACTCTAGAAAAGTCACCTCATCCTTCTCGGCCCCGATTTCCACATCTATGAAACAAAGAGTTTGGCCAGAATATACGGAACATCATTTTATGTGTAACATACTGGAAAATTACGTCATGGATTAGTTGAAGGGAGAGTAACTAACAGAATTGTCTCCAGTAAAAATTCCAGTTTCTCAGGCCATGATTGCTGCTGGATGCTGGATGTACTCCAGGAATCACAAGGGGAAGCCATGCTTTATTGTTTTATGGAAGAGGGATTAATACTGTGAATTATTTATTCTGTACTTTTTCTTAATGATACAATATAGGCAAATACACTATGAATTATTTTTAAAGCAATCAAAGGGCTGTCAAGTAAAGGAAAATTATTAATGTTCCTAAAGAAGTCAAATATTACGTAGAAACAAAAATATTAGTAAGGTATGGGTAATTCATGCTCCAACTATAAGTAAGTCTAGGGGTATAAAAAATTCAGTAGAATCAGCCTTCCAATGAAGTGTTTCTTTCTGCCCCTTTTTTTAAAAAATTAAAAGATTATATGAAAATGTTAAAAAATGAAAAATTTCTAATAAGGAATTATCCAGATTTGCTCTCATTCTCCTATTGAATTTTAACTTATCCTTAAGTTCCAACTCAAAACTTTTTGAGCAAGCAAACTTTTCCCATATTCCCAGTTAGGATGAATTATTATCCTGGATACAACTTGAGCACTTTTAATACTTCAATTACTAGGATCCAGTTAATGGGTCCTGAGAACAATGGGATATTGAGCACTATGCTAGACTGACCAAGGCAACCAAAGACCTCATCCCAGACACATCCACACCCTCGAATGGGCTCAAAAGGCTCAAGATGGAAACAGATACCACCATCATTATCATGTCTCTCACTTTACTGCGTTCATAATTGGAGAGACTGTTATGGGGACGTAGAAGAAAGATCAATTAACTTTGCCTGAAAAACTGTAAAAGGGTTCAAAGAGGAGGCAAATTTAGTCTGACATATATACCATCCACCCCCTAGGGCTGTTGGAAGGTTTAAATAAGATGTATAAGATGAAATTATAATCTTTAATTGCAATGCATTCAAAAGAGGGTATTCCTTACAGTAATTTCAACATAAGATGAAGATACAATGCCAAACACAACTCATTAAAGGCAATAGGAGTTTCAAGGGTGATGACAGAAAAGAAACTCGTTCCCTGGAATGCTCCAGAAACAAAATCTAAGAAGTGTGAGAAATTTAATAGATTTATGTCCTTCAAATTAGCTGCCCCATGTTTTGTAAGATTACCCAATACTTGTATATCTGAACCACTGTTTTCACTATCATTTATTCCTGATAAACAATTTTAATGTCCAGAGTAATGTTGCAGTATATTTTTTGTATTATTTTTTTTGCAGGCACCTTCTAGATAATAAAATATATTGATGCCTCAAAAAGGAGGTCAAAGCCAACTAACATTTCTATTTCACAATACTTTCAAACGCTGTATATATAGCTCTTCAGACATCAAAACCATGTTCACAGACAACAATTTTTCTGAAATCTCTCATGGTTCTAGCACTGGTCTCCCCTGATGCTGGAGTCACCACTACCCAAGTTCCCAAAGAGGCTCTCACCTGCCCAAGCTCTTCATTAAGGTTTGATGTCCTGGCCATTGCAGGAGTGTCATTTCCTAGATAATACATGTCTGTGTCCTGAGAGAGAAGGGGTGGAGGGCACTTCAGAAAATATATACCATTAATCCTTTATTTAGACTAATACAGAAAAGAAGCTACAACAGATAACTTAATATTAGTGCTCATTTTTAATTTGGGGGTGAAAGTACAGTGGCTATTAGTATAGAGAAACACTGTGCTAGAGAAATAAAACAAGCAATTTATATACAGAAGGTTTGGTATTGAGATGATCATTGCATGACCTAGACTAACCCATACTTCTGAGGAGCCAATCCCTCCTTCATGGGATTATTGTGAAGATCAAATAAAAATGCACATGAAAGCACCCAGTCTACAAATACTGGCTGCTGAAGTCTAGTGCTTCATGGCATGGCAGTTGCTTTAAAATTACACCTCTCCACTCTTGCACCAGAATCCAAGTTTATGGTCCCCATGACCTTTGACATGCAATGCACACTGAAATAGATACACCTATGAGACCTTTCATGCAGCACTAATTAGACTGTAAAAGCAGGAGCAGAATTTGCAGCCATTTCGTCCCCACTCACCAGGAGGCATGCACCTGCTCAGCTCTCTGTCTCTATGATCTCCCTTAATCCTCACAAGAACCCCTGGAATAAACAGACACCAACGTCCTCCAGTTTCGTAGACTAGGAAGCTGAGGTGTCAGGTAACCAGTCATTGCCATCACCGGCTCAGGGACAGCCTTGCCAGAGATCCCTTGCCAGTTCTCTGGCCAGACCCAATCATAAAGGAACCAGATTTGTCCTTTTCTGGCGGCTCAGCTGAAGGACTGATGCTCTGAGAGAGTATGAGAAAATACTGATTGACGTTGCTCCAGCAGCTCAGCTTTGAGACTGCTGTGATACTCACCCAGTTTATAAAAAGGGCTTGAGTGTATTTCACAACCTCAAGGGTCACCAACAGACTGATGGGAATAAGATTGTTGTATAAGATGATGAACGTCAACAAGTTATATCCAAAATTATCTGAGGTCGTGTCTGTGGACGAAAACCAAAGTACCTGTATCACTTTAGTTCATCTCGTTCAGTTTCCTTCTACCTTATTATTGTGGACTTTTTCTAAAGATGTTCACCAAAAAAGTCTACAGGCTTATGTATAAATTTAGAGATTTGAGTTAAAACAGTTATGGAGCACTTACTATATGGTATGAACTGTGAACACAAAAACTATTAATACAATCTCTTCTAGTAAAGAGCTGGCTTCTAACAGGAGGTTGTAGGGGAGGGGAGTGAGCAGGAGTGAGCAGGAGCAAGCATGCCCCTTCCTGACCATGCAGCAGCATACATCTGCTGAGGAGGAGTTCACAGGGCATTGCTGAAACTAGGAGAGGTTTATTTTAATGGGAAGGCATGGTCACTGAAGGCCATCCAGAAGAACAGAGGCTTTAGTTAAGTTTTGGCAGAAAGAGAGAAGACAGCTAACTAAAAAGGATGCAGAAAAGGGCGCCTGGGTGGCTCAGTCGGTTGAGCGACTGCCTTCGGCTCAGGTCATGATCCTGGAGTCCCCGGATCGAGTCCCGCATCAGGCTCCCTGCTCAGCAGGGAGTCTGCTTCTCCCTCTGACCCTCCCCTCTCCCATGTGCTCTCTCTCTCTCTCATTCTTTCTCTCAAATAAATAAATAAAATCTTTAAAAAAAAAAAGGATGCAGAAAAGAAAACAGGCATGTCAAATGGCTGTAAGGAATATCTACAATCTTACTAAGGTAAGAGTCCATCTGGGATACTCCAAAGAGTTTGTAAGATATAAAAATGTATCAATGGTAGCAGGCAAAAAGAGGGAAGCAGGAAGACTGGAGCCATTTATTGAAGATAACAAAAGAAAATCTTAACAGAAGAGGACCCCTAATGATGGATCAAGACCCCTAGGGGACAGAATCCAAAGCAGAAGTAGGGTCAGCTTAGACAAGAAGAGGAACCAGGAGAGAGAAAAGAGGTACAAGGACAAGTTCTTTCCTGATGATCATGATACCCTGGTTGAAGGAAAGAGTAGTAAGAGCTTAACTTGGCAAGAGGTGAGGAAAGGTTGCAGCAGGCTAAAGGTTTGACTGGTATCAAAGACGCCTCTTGAGGGGAAGTGGTATTGCAAGATAGCAAAAGGCTAGGACTGGAGATTAGTAATTTATAAGGACTTCAAAACACACTTGAGCTTTTCCCCCAGGAAATTAGTCAAATGGTAGTGGTTTGACTCAGCCTGCGAGTTCTGGAGGGTACGATGGCAGCATAAGGGGCTGGTTAAGGGTAACAGGGAGTAGGCACAAGCTAGTCAGTAGTTTCACCTTCCTACCATCCCTTCATTTTCTTCTCTATGGCTTCTGTTTTTCCTGTCGATTGCTTCTTTTCTTTCCGACATGTTACTTTGCAACCTTGTTCCTTTGAACTAAGTAGTTGCTAAATAGGATCTCTAAGCACCAATAGTTAACAAATGTCTCTGAGGTATAATTTCCTTAGGAAGAAATATCTTCCAATTAGAATTATGTATTAAGAAATTTAAAATGTCAGGTTTGAATACATGCCAAAAGCAACTTTGAGTCATCATATATATTATCAATAAGCAGAGCACATTCGGGGAAGACCCTATGTATAAAAGTTCATTCAGCCAAACAAAAACAATCAAGTGGAGATGAGTGAGGACAGAATCTGATAGAAATTAAAGTCAAAGCTCCAACAGTGACAATGTAAATGTGAAGTCTGATGGCTTTTAACAGAGCTACTCCAACTTTTCCATAAGAGAACAAAGCAGACAGCATTATGGATGGGACACAAAAACTATTCTTCCATCATGAATCATACAGCTAGTCCTGGAGTTTGAAATTAGGCAATTTAAATGCCAGCTTCCACAAAACCTGTATACCAAGATTGTGTCAATGCTGTTTATTTACCCAGATCATGACATTTTGAAACTATATATGTACACAAAGATTCAATCTTCATATTTGAAGCTAGACATATCCAAATTTTAAGAACCAAAACCAAGAGTTTTGACTCCACCTACAACTCGAGTCCCAGTCATATTTGTAAAGTGGCAACAATAGTTCTCCTGGGCATTCAAAAGTGTTTGATTTTTCTGCATGAGATAATTAGAAAAGGAAAAAATATTTTATCAGTTTAACCAAAATATATTTAAAGAATAACCAAAACTTCAAAGATTCCAAAGTTTTAAAATTCAGATTTATTTTTTAAAATATTTTGTCATTAAATTTTATTTATTTTTGGAATTGCTATGTAAGGAGATTGGCAAATCTCTCAAAAAAAGGAAGCAATAAAACTGATGAAAATTATCAAAAACAAACATTTAAAGTGCTTGGAAATTGACCACAGTGCATACAAAAAATTCAAAAGCATGTATTCAAAAATTCTACTTAATCTAAGTGGAAACCTTAGGCATTTAAGTCAGAAGCTATTTCCCTCTCCTTTCCCCTTGAGCCATGATGTTTAAATTCTGTTCTGGCTGGGTGGTTGGGACTGACAGCTTGAATCCCCTCTACCCCATGCCCCCAGCTCCATATTGAAGAAATTCTGTCCCAGGGTGAGGCAGGCTGGTACTCTAGAGTAAGGCAGGTTGTCAGGACAGGAACAGCCTGAGGAAGATGACATTATTTGGAACACAGCATGAAAAAAGCCACACCGAGGGCACTGTCAAAACCAATAGAGATTCCAGTGGCTAATAATCAGGGAAGACAAATATCTCACAATACTAGTAGGAGCAAACAAACCAGAAGACTAGCCAAAAGTTAAACAAAGATATCCATGGAAAGAAATGGCCAAAGAAACCTTGGTAAGATCACACTCAACCCTGGTGGTCCAGAAGGTCATGTCCATGCATAAGGCTGTACCTGCTTAGGAGAGACCAGAGAGGGTACTTGTGAGCTACTAGTCCCTGACCGAATGTGGGCAGACTTTAAATTCCCCAAACACTGAAGGCATTCTACAAGCCACACATAAGTCAAACAACCTCTGACCAATCACTGGCTAACCTCTAAGCTATGCTGACCTCTAGGAATCCAGGCTTGAAAATAAAAACAAGGAGAAGAATGATGGCTAATGAAGATAGGGTTTCTTTCTGTGGTGATGAAAATGTTCTAAAGTTAGGTAAGATGTAAAGGTTGCACAATCTGTGAATATACTACAAACCACTATATATCTTAAACTATACATTTGAAAAGCCATAAAAAGTCAGAACATAGAAATAAAACTGAGCAGTAACAGCAGAGGCTATACACTGCAGGAGAAAAGACTTCACAGAATCTTTCCAGGCAAGTCACTAAACAGATAAAAAACAGCAACAAGCTCCAGGAGGAAAAGGAAACAGAATCCAGAACTACCCCAACATATTATCTAAAGCACCCAGTTTTCAACAACAAAGAAATACGAAACTACAAAGAAACAGGAAAAAAAGCAATAGAAACTGCCTTTGAGGGGGGAACCAGATGATGGACCAAAGACTTCAAAGAAGCTGTTATAAATATATTTAAAGAACTAAAAGAAACCATTTAAAGAATTAAAAGAAAGTATGATGACAAAGATTGTTTAATCAGAGAACATTAAGAAAGAGATAAAAGAAAGAACCCAGTGGAAATTATGAAACTGAAAAGTATGATAATTAAAATGAAAAATATCACTAGTGGAGCTGAAGAGTAGATGTGAGCTAGCAGAAGAGAGAAACAAACTTCAGTGTAGATCAACAGAGCTTACCCAATCTCAAAAAGAGAAAGAAAACAAAATAAGGAAAAATTAACAGAGCCTAAGGTCACATTATTTGGACCAACATGTACATAATGGAATTACCAGAAAGAGAAGTGAGTGAAGATGTGGCAGAAACAATATTTGAATAAATAATAGCTGAAAACTTCCCAAATTTGAAGAAAATTATTAACATACACATCCAAAAAGCTCAACAAACTCCAAACAAAACAAACTCGAAAACCAAGGACAATTTTGAAAGCAGCAATAGAAAATGACTCACATACAAGGGGAAAAGTAAGATTAACGGCTGACTTCCCATCAGTACAATGGAGGCCAGAAGGCAGTGGGATGGGATATGCAAAGTACTGAAAGGAAAAGAACATAACCAAGAATTCTACAAGAATCCTGTATCAACAAAACTGTGCTTCAAAAACCAAGGAGAAATTAACACATTCCAAGATAAAAACAGAGAATTTGTTGCTCTCCAATCTGCCTTACAAGAAATTCTCCAGGATGAAAGGAAATGACACCAGACAGGAATTGAATCCACATAAACAAAGGATATCAGTAAAGGTAATAACACAACAGGTACTTATAAAAGACAATTACATATTTTTTATCCTTTCTTTTGGACTTAAAAAAACATGGCAAAAATGATTATAAAAGTGCATCACTGGCCTTATACACAGCTGTAATATATATATATATGACAGCCCAAAGGAATGAGAGGATAAAGCTACATGAAGCAAAGAAATAACACAAGCTGGTAACTCAAATCTGTGGAAGAGATGAAGAGTACTAGAAATGGTAAATAAGTAGGTTCATGTAAAACAACTCTGTAAGTGTATTTTCTTTTTGCTTAATCAATATTAAATAATATAAAGCAACAATTATAACACTGGATTACTGGGTTGATAACATAGACGTAATATATATGATAATAGCACAACGCAGGGCGAGAAATGAATCTATACTGGAGTAAAATTTCTGTATTTTACTGGAATTTAGTATTAATCTGAAGCAAATGCTGATTAACTAAGACATTTATTGTAATCCCTAGAGCAACCACTAAGAAAATAACTCAAAAAATAGTTAAAAATACAATCATTTGAATATAAAACAATCCCCACATGTGTCCATCCTTCATTTCATCACATGACTCCTAATCTTTCAAGAAGGCTGGCCTTTTATAGACTAGCCAAAAGAATGAAGGATGGCATGGCCACCACACATAAACCACACTTGTAAGGGTTTTCCAAAGTGGTTCCGTTCTACTTCAACAAGCACTCCATCCTGACACTTACCCATCTTCTTGATGTACCAGTTCTTTCCACCTTGAGACCCATTCCAGTACAGGGCCCCCACTGAGCTCACCAAGGCCATGACCAAGAGGATGCCAAACAACACCAGGATCTGCACATTAGTCACTTTTTCAACATTCGATCTTTTGAGGGGTGCTTTTGTGGAATTCTATACAACAGCATTGAAAAATGTGTAAGAGCCACAGAACAGGCTTGGGGTTAAGGAGTGGGGAGAAAAGGAGGTAAGTTAACCAAATTCAACAAGTAAAAATAAAAGACTGTATTTTTGCCAAATAACCAATGAAATTAAAAAGTGTACCATACTCCTGAATCAACAGCTAGTTTTAAATAATAACACATTTTGACTCACAATTCAATCTGTACTTATGATTACATTTTAGTATAAAATGAGCTACTTTTGCAATCTTAGAAAACAAGTTCTAAATCACTTAAAATCAGTTTAAAAGAAATCAAGATGTCATTAATTCAAGAGAAACTTAAAGATTCTGTACCATAAAAATCTAGACTGAATCTTCAAGGTAATAATAGAGCTCTATAATTAATATACAAAGAACTATTTTTGCAGTATATATTTTCCCCTCAAAATTGAGGAAAAAAAGACATACACAGACACATACACATCCAAAATGCAAAATAGGTGTAGACATCAATAGGTGTCAAAATAAATGAATGGACAGAGTTCATTTGGAAAACTGAACAAGAAAAAAGCAGGAAAGTCAGGAAAGCTCTAGTGGCCGTGAGAAATCTGAGTGCAGTCTTGAGTCATAAACAGAATGTAGACAGGAAAGTAAAACAAAAGTGGAATACAGCCTAGCAATCTATAAACATGCATGGTCTGATTTCTCACTGCAGGTGGGGAAACCATTCCAGCTCGAACAGAAGCCAGTGTTGGCAAGTGAGTTCAGAAAGATTCATTAAAGCCAGATTCAAGGACCTCTACACATAGGTGAAAAATTTGGAACTATATTCTCTCAGCATTGGAAAAGTCAATAGAACTATTTGCACCAGACATTTATGCACCTGAAGTCATTTTACTAAAAATGTTCTGATTGTAATTGTGGTGGGAAAAATAATGGTTTCCCCAATGACGTCCATGCCCTGATACCTGGACCCTGTAAATACATTATTTTATGTGATAAAAGGGGTTTTGCTTACATGATTAAATTAAAGATATGACTGGGATGTCTGGGTGGCTCAGGTGGTTGAGTGTCTGACTCTTAGTTTTGGCTCAGGTCATGATCTCAGGATCCTGGGATCTTGCAAGCCCTGTTTTGGGCTCCACACTCAGCATGGAGTTTGCTTGTCCCTCTCCCTCTGCTCTCCTCCCCCACCCCTGACTGTCTCTCTCTCTCTCTCATAAATAAAAAAGCTTAAATTTTAAAAAATTAAGGCTATGACTTGGGGAAATATTCTTGGATTATACAAGTAGGTCCAGTTTAATCACATCGGCCCTTAAAAACAGAAAATGAAGAGATCTTTTCCTGGCTACAGTCAGAGGGAAATGTGACTACACAAGAATAGCCCAAGAAATGCAATACTGCCAACTGTGACAATGGAAAAAGGGGCTCATGAGCCAAGAAATTTGGGCAGCGCTAGAAGGCAGGAAAAGGCAAGGAACAGATTCTCCTCTAGAACCCCCTAGAGTGTACTAGAAAGGAATGCTACCCTGCAGCCTTCGTGACATGGATGAGACCCATACCAGACTTCTGACCTACAGAACTGTAACATGACAACTTCGTGTTACTTTAAGCTACTAAATTTGTATAATTTGTTATGGCAGCAATAGGAAACTAATACAGTAACCCAGAAGATGTTAATAATCCATTCCTGGAGGTGAGCAGAGCCTGGGTTAGACCGGAAGCCAGGAATTAGATAGGGGCAGATGGACACAGGAGCTTCAGTCTACAGGTCTCCCTCCATGAGTCACAAGCTTGGTCTCTCTACTGGCAACACCGATTTGCAAAAATCAGGTGATCTGAAAGCTTGAAAGGCATTAACTGGCCATAAAAATGGTGCATTATACAAAACTTAAGTCAGCACTCTTCACTGTTTTCATCTGATCTTTAAAAGAGTTAGGATGAAAATGTCTCCAAAAAGAAGAATATGAATAAAACCACAACATAAAAATAAAATCAAATGAAAACAGAGAGCAATTCATCCCTAAGTTCCCTAGAGAAGCTCATACCACATCACTGAAATGGTTACCTGAATTCTATCACCAAACCCACAAATACTACCATCATGGCCTGGTTTTCTGCAGGGTAGGGAGGTAGGGAATCAGTTTACTGGCCGTTTTGAAATGTTTCAGTATTTAAACAGCACAGCAACAACTTCCTTTATATTTTCTTTTCTCCCTTTCACTTCAGTTCTCTGAATTGTCCTTTACAGACTTAAAAAAAAAAAAGTCCTTTAAATTTCTAAATGGAAATCTATTAGTGAAGGCTGACCCATTGATCAAATCCCATCTACAGGTTGATGGGGACAACATATCACCTCTGGTCTTACGGAAGAAGCCAACAGACCAGTTCCAAGACTGTCTATCCCCATCTTTTAAAACTCATGATCTTATCATTCTGAACATTCACTGGAGCACAGGGAGAAAAAAAATTTACAATAAGCATCATTTCTATGACTCCATTAGTTTATTGGCTTCTGATTTTTTCCAATGGTTCAGTTGTGGCCAATTAACAGGGTTAGGAAAAGTTTTCTTTCATCCAGTACAAGAGCGCCAAACTTCATCACACACACTTTGTGGAAAGTCAGGCTCTGCCTATTCACTCCCACTCCCTGAACATTTCAACTTACAATGATGAGCTTGTAGTGTTAAATTCTGACTAGCATTTTAAACTCTTCCATAAAATTCTTAGAAAATACTTCTGCTTTTGAACAATGGAGTTCTTAATAGAAATAAGCATCTTTCAACTAACATCTTTCATGAAGATGTTAGTGATTATGTGAATCTATACACATGTTAAAACACATAGAATTGTAGAGCAAAAAAGTTATTTTTATGGTTTGTTAATTCAACAAAATTTTAATAGTGATAAAAATAATAAAAACTTGAATTAAGTGGCTATATATAATTCCAGAACCATCTCTATTGTCATTTACATTTCTTAGAATGTTTTGCTATTAAAAACAACTATGAAACTAGTGCTGATAAATGTATTTAATAAAAATTTTACTTATAGGGCACCTGGGTGGCTCAGTTGGTTAGGCGACTGCCTTCAGCTCAGGTCATGATCCTGGAGTCCCCGGATCAAGTCCGGCATCGGGCTCCCTGCTCAGCGGGGAGTCTGCTTCTCCCTCTGACCCTCCCCCCCTCATGCTCTCTATCTCATTCTCTCTCTCAAATAAATAAATAAATAAATCTAAAAAAAATTTTACTTACAGTAGTTTAAAAAAAAGCCAAAATGTCAGAGTTTGAAAAGCTTATAATTGACCTGAATTTTATATACTTTCTGCTCTCCTAAGAAAGTAGTCAGTAGAGTAACTAGTGAGAACATGGACTCAGGAGCCAAACTGCATAGGTTTGAATCCCAAATCTCTCTCTTACTGGGTGAGTGTGTAACTTCAGTAACTATTAGACACTGGGTCTCATTGTCCTCATCTAGAAAATGGGCACAATAATAGTATCTTCCTCATAGGGCCATTATGAGGAATAAATGAGTTAATACATGCAAATTGCTTAGAACAATGCATGTGGGCACTAAGTATTTGCTGTAATTAATGTGATGATACCTCCTTCCCATTAAATCAACCAATAGAAATAGTAATATTGAAAATATTTCCACATGTAACTACACTGAACTTGAAACAAGGGAACTCTGAAGAGAAGACACTGAGGCAAGATTTACAGAGCAAACAAAAAAGTAGAAGAACCCTAAAGTAATTGTGTTTCCCCTCTGTGGTCAAGCAGCACAAGTCCACACAAAAAAATGTTATTTCACAAATAAGATGGCTTCCAGCTATAGGTGTTATATTATATTCCTCTTGAAAGCTAATTATTTTTACTTGTTGTTGCAGTCCTAAAGGCACAGCAAGTCTAGTGCAGATGTTTCTGGGTCTTTCCACCATTCTGTACTAGAACACTCAATACATAATAAGCCTTGCACGGGCTTATCACACGTAGGTGCAAGGAGAAGCGCCTGTCTCACTCACAAGAGCAAACTTCATGAGGTAACTGTGCACACCTTGCTCACTGAAAAGATGATAAGATCATTTTTAGGTATAACTCGATGATCTCTTACACCTTAGCTACAAAACTGTATTACCAATGTCACCCTGAAAAAAACAACTGGTATACAAGGAATCTTGGAGGGTGGTTAAATTTGTAATATGCACAATCTAAAAACAGGTGTTGGGGTCCCATCTAAATATGAGCTAAGTCTTTGTCATCTCTGCCTCTTTATCATAAAAACAGAAGTGATCTGTGGTCAGTAGAGCTCCCAGTGTTAGGTGTGGCTGCTGGCACTGGACTGGGAAGTCAGAGGATACTTAGTAGGTAGTGGAGCACTAAACCATTCATCAAAGTAAAGTCTCCACATAACAGGCTATTCAGAACTAACAAACTTTAAACTTTCTAATCAGTTCTGAACCGGTGAGGACCTAGCAGGAAGGACAGATAAAACACATCTCAGATACACTGGATAATCTTGATCCATCCAAGAGGGGCCTCAGCATTCACCAACTATTTGTTCTCTCAGCTGCCATGGATCCCCACCCTCGTGCACACACTCCCACTGCAGCCATTCCAACACACCCTAGCATCCCAGGGACAAAACTTTCCCATGTCCTCATCCTCCTTTGGGAGCTTTTCTTACCCAGCTGAGGGCACTGCTTCCCTGAAGCCCCTCAAAGCAGAGGATGCTCCAGTGAAGACTCACATGCCTTGGAATCTGAAGCCAATAGTACTTCTGACCCTTATGACTCAAATGCCATGTTAAAACACTCACCTGTGAAACTCATGCCATTTGGCTACACTGTCTTCTGCCTCTTCCCTCAACAAATCCACCAACCTCTCAGGCACGTCCCTCACTCTCTAAAGAGGTGAGCAGTTGGCTTATGGCATCCATCTTGGCCCCAGCCCTGCCATTATCCTGTCTTCAAAATCACAGCACAGAGCACCAGATGCATTATCTCTCAGTCCTCACTACATACTGATCAGCTGGTTGAGCGGCAACTGCAACAGTCTTCAATGTCACGAGACTCTGAAGCCTTATCATGCCCACCATCTCCTCCACTCCCTGCCACCCCGTCTCCATTGCATTTCTCAGCTGGGGTGGACATGGGGTCTATCACCTCATCTGTTCTAATCAATATTTAACTCTCTCCTCCTCCATCATCTGACCTCAAACAGTCAGCCAACACAAGAGTCCCCCCCCCCATCTAAAATGGGTTTCTAGTATCTAGTCAACTAACAGCCCCAATCCTGGGTTGCTTGGCCTTTCTGTAGACACCTAGAGCACTTTGTAATGATAATACTACAGCAATTCTCACTCTACCTGGTAATTCTGTATTACTCCTTAGTCTTTGTAGCTCCCAGAGGGTGAGCTGGACCTTTCACTATTGTATCCACACAGCCTACTTCAAGACTTGGTGCATGGTGGCCACTGAATAATTTTGAACTAAGAAATACAGTCATATACATGCTTTGGAAGTGATACAAAAGAACAGACAAGCTGAAAGCTGATTCTTGCGAACAGCAACCATTCGCAAAATAAGATCCAAAAGATATCAAAGAAATATAAGAAATGACACACTGGGACACTGATTTATACAGAATTTCAAAAGCTGTCTGGCAAAATACACCATAATACAAATGCAGGCTGCTGTAAATTCACAAATACTTTGAAAATCATTAACAGGGAGAAAGAGTAAAATCATTTTAACTTAATTCTTTTGGTGTATGAAGAATAAATATTAGTTCAAAAATAACTGATTTTAAATTGCCAAGGATTTAATTTAAAGTACAATTTACTATTAAATCCTAATTCATGGGGTGAGGAAGAGAAGTAGAGATATAAGAAAATTAGAATGAATCTCTGCTTAAGTCCAGAAGATAAAATAAGTTAGAACAGATCATCCCCCTAATCTGGAAAAAACAAAGACCATCGATATTTCAAGCAAGAGGTAACAAACATCTGAGAAAATAACGGAAATCCAGGAAAAACTACCCAAGGAACCAGAAATAAAAGGTACTTCCTTTCTAAATTTAGGTTCACAAATTCGAGGCCCTAAATGCAACATTTGCATTTGCACTCTCTACTCCATAAAAGTGGACAGAAAAAAAAAGACTGAAATCAGCATTGTTTTTCAGCATAGAAATGTTTTACCTGCATGAGTTTGGTGTCGTGTCCAGTATAAACAACTATGCCAAAGACCCACTGAGTATTTCTAAGCTGTGTACCTCTTAATAAGATCTGGTCAGGCCCAAGGGGAACAGGGCTAAAAATAAGAAACAACATTTATATTTAATGATAGTTTGACAAATAAGCATGAGCTTTCCCCCTTAAACATAAACACACAATTAATCAATTAATTCGATTGTTTCTTTTATTCAAATTTGAACTATTTCACTGAGAGGAGCAATGAAAGTTACCACTGCCTTCATCTACAAAAAAAAGAAAAAAGAGATCCACAAAAAAGTTTTATCCTATCCATTCATCACTACAAGAAAACTATGTATTTTTCTTATAAAATGTTAGAGGGAATTGTATTCTCTTAAAACCCGGGCATGAAACTATACACCCAAAAAGGAAATTGCTAAAATAACCAGAAGCTTATTCATTGGGAAACCCAGTTTATTTTACAGACTCTAAAGCTAGAATATCAAATTTGTCAAGGATGACTTAATGGTTAAATAAAAGGCTAAGTGATAATGTAGAAATTCAAAAGGGGGAGCCGACTGAATGTCTCTGCATGCTAAATGAAAACCAAGAAAGCAGTCACAGTTGTGATAGTTATTTTGGGTTGATTCCCACGATTAGGTCCTTCCCTCTGAGTCTGTTCAAAATACAAATGTGGGAAGCATCGGTAAGGAGCATGCAGATTAAAGATGAGCAGAAGGGAGAAACTGCACCCCAACATGATGACAAAAATGACTCTCCAACAATCAAACAAATGCCAAGAGGACAAAGACAACGGAATATAGACAACAGGGCAGTGAATATCCTAAAGGAAGAGTAATTGCTGTTCCTTCCACTTGATAAGAACAAATCCTACTTAGAAGAATGCTAGTCAAAAAAAAAAAAAAAAAAGGATGTTTCTCTAATAAATAGATTAGCCCTTATACACCTGATATGCTTCCCTTCTGCTCTTCTGGACAATTTTATGCAGCCCAAACCACCTCTCCTTCCTGGTAAGTAAGACACACAGAAAAACAGCCAGTACTTTTAATCTCATTTCAGACCCTGGGGCTGTTTTTCTTGACAAAAATCAGTTCTTTCCTTAAACTTAAGGGAAGGAAGGTTTATATTGACTGAAATTGTGCTTCAGGAAAAGCTCAGTCTCTCATATCTAAGCTAAACATAAGAAATCTCATGGTTTAAAATATTTCAAAACCAAAAAAACAAGCTGATATTTTACCAATTCCAGTAATTCTTAGTCCCATTTAAGAACAAAAAAATAAAATAAAATAAAAACTAAGAAAAGCAAAAGTGATACCTTTTCCCATCTATGTGCAAGTTTCCAGTGAAGTCATAGAGATGGCGGTTGGGTCCTTCACATTCTATAGTTCCAGATAACTTCATCAATACTTCCCTTGTTTGCATGTCAGCAGTGTGACTCAGACCCTAAAATGTTAAACCAAAAGAGGAAACTGAATACAATCTTCCAGGTTTGGGGACAACATTCAGCATCCCCATTGTTAATCCAAAGGAAATAATGAATCATCTAAAATGGAGTCACTGGGGAGGCTAACAAATCAAGCTACCAGCCCCTCAAGATAGACTTCCCAGGCAGCCTTTGCCATAGCGACCTAATGCAAAAGTTTCCAAAGAATTCAATGAAGTGCAGGGTTAAGATTCTCCCATTGTGCTGGGAAGATCCATGTTCAAGTAACCACATACTCAAGCACCTTGCAGAGAGCACTCTATTAGCTCACTTTAATATGTCATAAAAACAGAATAAAGCATTCTTTCAATATAATGTTTCATTAGTGTTATATCTAGTACTCAGCAACACTTCTTTAAACAGAAAAAAAAATACCCTACTTAAATCAAATATCTAAGATAGAAAAGAAAGACAGGCGGATAGAATTATCAAATTCAACTTTATGCAACAGAAAATTTGAGTATCAAATGCTTAAAGTTTGTGTTACAGTAAAGACCATTTTTCATTCTAGAATTAAAATATATGGTAAGAACAACTTTGAGGCATAGAAATTTTGTATCTGATGTATTACTTTCTAGAATTAAAGTGTCAGTTAAAACAACCATGTCAAGTAAGGTACCCAGAGCTTGCCTACTGCATCTCTCCATATAGAAGATGCCCTTTCCACCATGTGGCTCAACCTAACTGGCAGGATATCTTTCCACCTGCACTAACAGACATAGATCTAAAATATAAATTAAGGCAAGATACCCTTCATGATCCATACCTGGATGAAGCTCACTTTTTCTAACTCCACTGTCTCTCTCAAGGGGTTCCCTTCATAATAAAAGCCAAGTTCTTCCCATGGGTTCCATTAGGGTTAAGGCATAACCCTATCTAGCAGAACATTTTTCTCTAGAAAATACACTGATTGGTATAGTGAATCAAATTTGCAATTTGGGTCTCCATGACAACACAAGTCATAAAAGATTACTTTACCTGACGTATTTTAAGGTTCGTCTCCCCATCTAGATTAGCTGTTTCAACATAACACATTGCCTGAGGTTCACTATGGAGAGAGAAATTTAAAAAGCCAAAGTTTAGTAAGATCCCCTCCACAAATTCACAGCTCATAAAGTCTCTACCATGGAAACTGTGTCTGCTGACTGGCCCTTCAACCACTTTAGTCCTAACTGACCAGAAAGACACTCCTCTTTGAGGCTCAACACCAACACAAAGGTGTTTGCCCAATGATCCATACTTACAGACCCCACATAATGCTGCTTGACCTTAAGTAGCAGAAATAACTGAAGTAGAATGAGAAGAGGACTTGTAGATTAAGGGAAACACAATATGTTCCAGCGAAGACCCCACCACTGTGTTTGGATGACCCTTAGAGTCTGAGTATTGGCCTGCTCCTGACCAAAAGAGCCACCCTAGACACAGCCAGTACAAACACAGCTTTTGAAGAACATTACAGCCAGAGTTCACCAATCAAGTTTGGCAAGCCTTTTCTTCCCTGTACCTTTTACTATGTCAACAGGTAACTTTTTAATCAAAACATCCAATTTTAAGGACAGAACACTCAAAGAATAACAATAAGCATGGCAGGGCTGCCTGGGTGGCTCAGTTGGTTAAGCGTCTGCCTTTGGCTCTAGTCATGATCCATGGTCCTGGGATCCAGCCCTGTCAGGCTTCCTGCTCAGTGGGGAAACTGCTTCTCCCTCTCCCTCTGCCCCTCCCCCTGCTCGTGCTCTCTCTCTCTCAAATAAATAAATAAAATCTTAAAAACAAAAAACAATAATCCTGGTAGATACTGTATTCCTATTTCTAATCATTGGGGTTAGCTGCATAGTTAGTGGTCAAGAGAATGGAATCTGCAACCCACTGGCTAAGTTAAAATCTCCTACTGCTACCTTTGTGAGCTGTGTGGACTTAGAAGTTGCTTAATCTCTGTTTCTGTGTTTTCTCATGTATGAAGTAGGGATACCAAGGGTTTGGGGGAAGATTAAATGGGATAATGTACTCAGTAGACTGCTTAGCATAATGTACAGACTCAAACAGGAATGAGCATCCTAGAAATATGTTGTCAGCTCAGACAAACCATCTCATATTAAAACCAGGTTTTTTGAGGGTTACGGTGAAAATTCATACCCCAAACTGTCAAGTGATCCACATTTCCCTATTTCTCTTGTTACCAATCAATAGGGACAAATATGAGTCCTGCCCTATATATATGGTGCTCTTCCTTCTCTATGGGCCTGGGATCCTATTTTTAAACATTTTATCTCGAGCAGAAAATTGATGCTAAGGCTTAGAATCCAATGTATGATCAAATCCAATAAAAGCAACACTGTCTGCATTCAAAGAAAATGCCAACAGTGTATCTAGGATTCCCTGCAGCACATAAAACATAGAAGTTTCAGTCTTATCATAGAATTAAACTTGAACTCATGAAAAGGAGTTTATTTATATCCTAATTGTAGCAGTCCATCTTTGATATATACTTTTATGTATCAAACCAAGGAAAAGTCAAGGACTGCATGGTCCATTATTCATGTCACTTAGTGACTGGTGATACCTTTCCAGCATGAAACTACCTGGAGAACATGACAGTGGCACTTGGGCAGATAGGGGGACACAACATGGACGAATGAAGGGGCAACACCAACTGCAGGTCATGTCTATGCTGTGAACGTGGGCCAGATCTCTGAGCACCTAGTAAAGGAGGCCCTGGCTCTACGGGAAGACTCCCTGGACCCACCAGGAGACTGGTTCTCAAGCCTCAGAGAGGCTGCAATCTTCGTGTTATTAACGGAATCACTCCACTGCTCTGGAGCATCTCCTATGAATACGAAATAGCCCAGAACTGCTATGAGACTAAAATGAAGCAATACATCTAAAAGAATTCTACAAAAGTACAAGGGAATGAGGGGAGAAAGAAAATTTAGGATTAAGGCAGGAACAAAAAAAGGCAAATGACAAGTAACTGAAGAAGAGGCTGGAGAGAGAAGGCTGGTGCCTCCGGGGGTGGAAGGGAAAGGGTGGCTTGTGATTCCTGTAGTCACCACTTTATGCTTTATTGTTCACATTTATTTCAAACAATGTGCCCACTTGCACACCTGACCTGGAGGATAGCAGGGCCATGTCTGCTGGGAGGTACTGCCCATTGATGACCTTCACAATGTCTCCCACCGCCACCTAGAAAACCAGGGACAAGGACAGAGAAGCATGAAAGACAGGAAAGCACAAACAGTCATTAAGGTGGTTAAATATTTGAAGAAAAAATTACTATATAATTATGCCATGAAGCTTAAGACAGAAGCCCAAATTATTTTCCTTGACAAGAACAGAACAAAAATCTTTCGGTACAAATGGTAATATTGCCTTTCTGCAGTGATGCCAAATGAAAAAAAAAATAAAACATAAAAGGAGAGTAAGAAAAGAGAAGAGTCAGAACTATCAAGGTCTCATTTTCTTTCAATTATTCCATCCACTTGCTAATTCCACTCTTGCACTCTGGTACAATCCCACAGCTGTACATAGTAGGGGAGAATAGTTAAATATACAGGTCCAGAGCCAGCCAGAATGCTGGGCTCAAATCCCCTGGCTGGATTCCTTGCTAGACCTGAGTAACCCGGAGCAAGTTATGTAAACTCTGTGTGCATCAGTCTTCACATCTATATATATAATGGGGTTGAGAGCACATATATCATGGGGTTATTGCAAGGATCAACTGAGTTAATAAATTTTCTCCATTTTACAAATGGGGAAACTGAGGTTCAAAGAAAAATAACTTGATCAAGGTCACATAGACAGTGAGTGTTAGACCCAAGATTCAAAACTGAGCAACTGGCCAGTGGTCTGATTACAAAGCAATACTGATTTCACCCATGAACAGTGCATCTAAGAGGTCCCCTGGAAACATACCACTTAAAACAGAGATTTGTGTAGCTCAAGAACTTCAACAAAAAAAGAGTCACAGCCAAAGTCAGAGACCACCTAGGGTGATAGATTCCACCAGACACAAGACCCCAAGCTAAAGAAAAAGGCCTTAATCTGCTGACCATGGGGCACCATGGCCAAGGGTTTGTATACCCTTTAAATGAGGTCACAGAAACACCCAGCTGGGTAGAATATGGACTTTCAAGTCAGGCAGGCTGAGGTTCAGATCCGAGCTTCACAGACACACTAGCCCTGGGATCTTGGCAAGTTCTTCACCTCGGTGAGCTCTAGCATCCTCACTTATAAAATGGAGAAAGATCAACACCTACCTTGTAGGGCTGATGCAATGATTAAGAAAGTATATGCAAGTGCCAGGCCTGAAACAGGCATGTGCTAGTCTCTACCAGCAGGAGTGCAACCAAATGGACACTATGAGGATGAAAGTCAGACAGGCCACGATTCTCAGACAGCACAAGAACAAAGGCTATTCTCAGCACACGTGAGTAAGTTCAAAACGCAAAATGGGCACTATGCCTTACTTCTTATTCTAATGCACATTACTGTTCTCTTAGAAATCAAGAATTTCAAACAGAATACTTCTGAAATATTTATGAAACTAATATTTATGAAAGACTCCTGGATCTTGTGAACTAGGAGAATGACCCTGGCAGGGGCCTATATTTAACTTTTTTTTTTTTTAAGATTTTACTTATTTATTCATGAGACACAGAGAGAGAGAGAGAGAGAGAGAGGCAGAGGGAGAAGCAGGCTCCAGCCTGATGCGGGACCCAACCCCAGGACTCTGGGATCATGACCTGAGCCGAAGGCAGACACTTAACCATCTGAGTCACCCAGGCGCCCAATATATTGAACTTTTTATTAGGAAAAAGGAGGGTTTACTAAAAACATGTCCTGCTAGTGTTTTGAGTCAAAGCACTATCCAAGCATGTGGGGAAGTAAGGAATCAGGCCCAATGTGTGTGTGGGGGGGGGGGGGTAAAAATTAAATTCCAGAACCACTGTATATTTGAAGTTAGTATCAACGTAAAGCCAAAAGGAAGGCCTACATGTATATTCTATATTCCACAATAAAGAGAATACCAAAGAACAGGTACTACTGAGCTATTTTAACAACCATCAGTACAACAGCAAGGAATGCTTATGAAAATTGAAAAAGTTCCTAAATGTAAAAGTATTTTATAAAAGTATTTTAATTATGTAGAAACAAATCAGAAGAAGCTATTAGTTAGAAACTAGAAAGGAAAATTGGTCATGTTTTCAAAAGAAAAAAGGCGGTGGATTTTTTCTTAATTCAGTGGGAGGACAAGGGAAATTATGGTTTTCTCCCATCTTAGTTATTTAAATAAAGAAACATTCATATCCCAGTAACAAAGTACTAAGAAGTCCCATGCACATGGAAAACTACTTAAGTTGGAAATGTGTTTGAAAATGGTTTTCTATTTGGCGTTTATGCATGATTGTCCCTTGAGTGTGTCAAGTTTCCCAAATGAGAATTCTTAAGGTGAGAAAGAGCCCCCTCTAGATCCCTGAATCCACTCTAGCCTCAGAGGATTCCTCAAGCTTCTTAATTTTGAAGAATAAGCTCAAAGGCCTTCTCAAAGTCAACCAAAGCTATTGAGTTGCACCGAAGAGCTGCCTCCCAGCATTCTATTCTGCTACAGCCCAGGGGATTGCCAACTCAAGCTCAGCATTTCAGATTAGAGTTGTATTGCTTTGGGAAGCTTAAAGAGAGCCAGGTCCACCTTGCCTGACATCTCTGGCATTTGGTACCTCTTATCGCCTATCTTGTCCCATGTTTTCATCATTGTTCCTTGAGCCACTCATCCTCATCTTTGTTCTGAGCTGCTCTGCAGATGTGCCTGAATTTCCTTCCCATACAACTGAGACTTTCATCCAGTTCCCTCTGTCTTGAACAGCATTTCCCTCTTAAAATAATTACCTCTCATTCATCCTTCAAAAGAACACCAGAACATCACATGAGGGATGTCTTTGCTCATCTGAATTAATGGGTCTAGATAGACTGATCATCCATCCCTCCCATATGTTCCAGAAGCACCTGAAGCATGCCCCTACACAGAGCTCAGCACTAACACTGCATTCTATCCAGCTGCCTGGCCCTCCCATGACACCCGTGGTTCGGGGCCAGCAGCGTTAGCCTCACCTGGGAACTTGTTACAAATGCAAATTCTAGGGCCCAGTGGAATTCCCAAAACGGAAATTCTGAGAGTGCAGCCTGTGCGGCACTCAGTGTTAGACCAGCCAGGCAAGCGGACTGATGCCCACTGAAGGCTGAGAATCATGGTAGGCAGCTTCTTAAGGGCAGGGGCCATGCTTTATTCTTACTTGCATCCCCAATGCCTAACACCATCTCTGGGACATCCTAAGAGCTCCATTTAAACAAACAAAAGCATTTTAATTGAAATAAATATATTTGCAGTAAAGCATATAACATGTATTTGGTTTGGGATTTTTTTTTTTTTAACTTCAAATGTGTGTAGGAAATGGTAAGGAACTTTAGGAGTCTGTGAGGCCATCAACTCCTGGACCCAGAATTCAGAGATCATCTCTCCATTTACTGTTTCAAGCAGTGCAAACATCCCAAATCCAAATCATTCCTCACTCCAGCCACTGTTCCGAGCTT